CAATCAAAGCTACGGTAGATATAACATGATTTGACGTCATTTTATCTGTGTCCAATGACCTTGAGCCTTATTGGATGGGCACTTCTAATGTAAATCTATGGCAGCACCCAAGAGGCTTGAATTTTTGAGCTTCCCCGTAGATTTTGACGTGACGTAGTTGTTCCCCATGAGTGACAGAACACTGAGCCAATCACGGCGCAATTAGAGAACATACCAACCCCTACGCTCTGTATTTTCCGCTGGCTGCCCCACCACCACAGAAAGCACTGAGCTGGGCTGAAACACCTGCATTTTGGAGCTGCCTTACTCAAGAAAGCAAAAAAGAGACCATGTTTGTATGCGGCTTTATTAACTCAATGTTGTTGTATTTTTTACAATATTTTTTGCAAACTGATATGTGACACGTATTAATGCCAAAATAACATGCAAAACAGGCATACAGTGCCCTCCACTATTATTGGCACCCCTGTTTAAGAGTGGCGAGGACTTCCAAAAATTCTCTTTTTTTTTAAACAACATAGAACCCAAATGCAAAAAAAGAGAAAAATCCAACCTTTTATTTAAGTACATTACTTTTGGGGGTTTTAAAAAAAAAAAAACACACATTTAGAAAAAGAAAACTTGAAATCATGTGTCCCACAATTATTGGCACCCCTGATGTTAATACGACAAAACTAAGGCCTGTTGGATCTGCCTTGTTGATAGTGTTGTTTAGAAGGCAGAGCAGCGCTTTATTATGGACCAAACTTTTTTCCCAATCTTAGTTACTTGTACCCAATAGATTTTGACCATGACAGTTACAATCCCAGGGTTACTCCAAGCAGTTAGTCTCCTCAACTTGCCTCAACTTCCACATTATTTATACAAGATTTAGTTGAGGTTTAGGGTTTAGTGATGATTTGTCCCCAAATACAATGCTTTTAATTTTGAAATATTTAGGACTAACTTATTCCTTGCCAACCAATCTGAAACTAACTGCAGCTCTTTGTTAAGCGTTGCAGTCATTTCAGTCGCTGTAGTAGCTGACGTGTATAGTGTTGAGTCATCCGCATACATAGACACTCTGGATTTTACTCAAAGCCAGTGGCATGTCATTAGTAAAGCTTGAATAAATGAAGGGGCCTAGACAGCTGCCCTGGGGAATTCCTGATTCTACCTGGATTACGTTGGAGAGGCTTCCATTAAATAACACCCTCTGTGTTCTGTTAGACAGGTAACTCTTCATCCACATTATAGCAGGGGGTGTAAAGCCATAACACATATGTTTTTCCAGCAGCAGACTATGATCGATAATGTCAAAAGCCACACTGAAGTCTAACAAAACAGCCCCCACAATCTTTTTATCATCAATTTCTCTCAGTCAATCATCAGTTATTTGTGTAAGTGCCGTGCTTGTTGAATGTCCTTCCCTATAAGTGTGCTGAAAGTCAGTAAAGTGGCTTTACTATTCTTGGGTAGCGGAATTACTTTTGCTTCCCTCCAGGCCTGTGGGCACACACTTTATTGTAGACTTAGATTGAAAATGTGGCAAATAGGAGTGGCAATATCGTCCGCTATTTTCCTCAGTAATTTTTCCTCCAAGTTGTCAGACCCTGGTGGCTTTACAGAATTCAAAATTACAACGCTTGTCTTTCAAAATTTGATCAGTTATACTTGGATGTGTTTGTTGCTGGCATGTCATGCCTACGTTTGCTAATCTTGCCAATGAAATAATAATTGTCATTGGCAATATCAGTGGGTTTTGTGATGAATGAGCCATCTGATTCAATGAATGATGGAGCTGAGTTTGCTTTTTTACCCAACATTTCATTGAAGGTGCTCCAAAGCTTTTTTACCATCATTCTTTATGTCTTTTATCTTTGTTTCATAGTGTAGTTTCTTCTTCTTTTTATTCGATTTAGTCACATGATTTCTCAATTTGCAGTACGTTTGCCAATCGGTTGTGCAGTCAGACTTATTTGCCATTCCTTATGCCTCATCCCTCTCAACCATACAATTTTCAATTCCTCATCAATGCACAGGGATTTAACAGTTTTATAGTCATTTTCTTAATGAGTGCATGCTTATTAGTAACTAGAATAAGCAATTTCATAAATGTGTCATGTGCAGTGTCTGGTTGCTCCTCATTACACACCACGGACCAACAAATATTCTTTACATCAACAACATAGGAATCGCTACAAAACGTGTTGTATGACCTCTTAGACACTTTGGAACTTTGGTTTTCCTAGATATGGCTACTATATTGTGATCACTACATCCAATGGATTTGGATACTGCTTTAAAGCACATTTCTGCAGCATTAGTAAAGATGTGATTAGGGCTATGGTGGTCATGACATTTTGTCGACCGGTGATTGTCAAGCAAATAACTGCCAGTCTCACTGTAATTGACCATTAATTAGCATAAGCCATTGATGCAGACCTTTGCAACATCTACATTTTAAAAAGTCTAATAAAGCCATGTAATATAGCCTACACCATCACAATAAATCCATTATTTATTTTAGACAGGTCTAAAGAAACATGATATGAAGAAAACGTAGTCTATTTCAGTAAAACAGAATAGCATACTCTGAGTTGTCCTTATGTTACGTCCTGATCTGGCTATGCCTTATGGCTGTGGGCTACACTAGAGTCATTTAGCAGACTAGATTTTGTGGTCCTCTGTAGCTCAATTGGTAGAGCATGGCGCTTGTAACGCCAGGGTAGTGGGTTCGATCCCCGGGACCACCCATACGTAAAAATGTATGCACGCATGACTGTAAGTCGCTTTGGATAAAAGCGTCTGCTAAATGGCATATTATTATTATTTGCTTAGAATTCCGTGGCATTATTTTATATTATTTTATAGTATGAAGAATACAACTGAACATAGCTGAATAAAATAGAAAGGATATTTTCTCCAAACGACAAGTGATAATATATCATTCACAACTGATAATATATCATTCACAACTGATAATATATAATTCACAACTGATAATATATCATTCACAACTGATAATATATCATTCATCAGTGATAGGCTAATATTGTCACCCATCAGACTATTCTTGATTTAATATTGTCTTTACATTCACTAAATAATATATGTGTGAAATTTGTTTTGATTTAGAATGGACCATTATCATGCACCTGTCTCAAAAAACAAAAATACTTGTCATCTATGCACTTAAATAGCGAATGGAGGACGCTTTTCCCGTGGTTCATTTTCATGCCAGCCAGGTGGGCTATACTCCTGTTGTAAAGAGAAGCAATGTGCTTAATATTAGGAAAGTTAAGAAATAAATATAGTAGGCCTAGCCTATAGAAAGCTGATGGGATCCTCCTCTTTTTAATAGAGGCCATCACTCTGTTTTCTCACAAAATTGCTTAGTCTATAAAAATGTTGCGCAACATGAGCTCATGGTGTTTGATTAGATTTTCGATTACATTTGCATTGATGTCAGAGTGATTAGAGGGACAATAGAGTGCTGAGTACCAGGCAGTTAGCAAGTTTGGTTGGCTACTAATGACCATCAGCAGCATCAGAGCATGGAGAAGCCTCGTTACCGTGACTAAACGGTCACGTGGAACTTGACTGCCGTCATGACTGGTGACCTCTGGTATGGTGGAAATATGCGATCAATATATGTTGATGATTTCATTCCTGTGCTGTTTCTAACTACCCTAGTAGGTTGACTGATAACCTGAACCATGGTATAGGCACTGGATACAGTTGAAGCTTTTTCTTGAGTGGGAAGCTTGATGAAAGCCAGTCAATATTTAAATCACCCAGAAAATACACCTCTCTGTTGATATCACATACATTATCAAGCATTTCACACATGTTATCCAGATACTGACTGTTAGCACTTGGTGGTAATAATTTCCTGACTCCCGAGTGGCACAGTGGTCTAAGGCACTGCATCGCAGTGCTAGCTGTGCCACTAGAGATCCTGGTTCGAGTCCAGGCTCTGTCGCAGCCGGCCGCGACCGGGAGACCCATGGGCGGCGCACAATTGGTCCAAGGTAGGGGAGGGTTTGGCCGGCAGGGATGTGGGTTTGTTTCCCACGGGGGGCCAGTATGAAAAAATCCCCCCCCCAAAAACATGTATGCATTCACTAACTGTAAGTTGCTCTGGATAAGAGTGTCTGCTAAATGACTAAAATTTAAAATGTGGTCAATAGCAGCTTCCGATCAGAATGCAATAGTACAATTTGTCAATGTGGACAGTAGGTTATACCTCCAAAATAGCATCTGGTTAGCTTCTGATTTAGCTAGCTAGTTAACTAGGGTAGTTAGCCTTGTTTACTTAGCTAATGTTGTTGATGATGTTAGTCTGAAGTGTATAAGAACCTAACATTAACGTACTGCTTTCGGTACCTACGTTATTCAATGGATGACGCTAGCTAGATGGCTAAAGTTCAATATTAGCCTACAATCTTACCTTGGAAAGGATCAAATCAGTTACAATTATATGGGTCCCGCCTTCCAATCCATTCCGAATACAACAGGTGCAGACCATACGGTGAAATGCTTGCTTATGAGCCCCTTAGCTAACAGTGCAGTTTTAAGAAAAATAAGTGTTAAGTAAATAGCAAATAGCCCAGGTAGCCATTTGATTAGCTGTTCAGGACTCTTATAGCTTTGGGGTAGAAGCTGTTAATGAAGCCTTTTTGGAGTTTTAGACTTGGTGCTTCTTATTTGTAATACATTTACAAACATTTCTAAAAACCTGTTTTCACTTTGTCATTATGGGGTATTGTGTGTAGATTGATGAGGATTTTTAATTATTTCATCAATTTCTGTGACGAGTACTGAGTATATGAAGAGGCAGGACGCAGACGCAGGAGTTAACAAGGTCAAGGTTTATTTAACAATGACGTGGAGAGCAGAAACTCTTCTAGCATGACAGACAAGACATAGAGAGAGAGAGAGAGAGAAAGTGAAAACTTGTCATATATGAGATAGAGAAAGATATGAAGAGACAGCAGAATCTCGTGACTGATAGAGAGATGTACCAAGTCCTGGTAAGTCCACGCTAGTGTTGCTGGTGTTTGCCACTTGATACTAAGTATACCCGGGAGGATTAGTAATAACAGCATTTAAAATAAAGCCCTGTTTTACGTGGGAAGGTGAGCTATAAGAGATCTGATAGAGAATGTAAGTCACATGTTTGTGTGAGGGAACACTAACAATAGGAAACAAACAAACAAACGAATGAGAAAAAAAGCCAGGACACCTCTCTGTTCTAGATGGTAGAGACCAGTACACCTCTCTGTTCTAGATGGTAGAGACCAGTACACCTCTCTGTTCTAGATGGTAGAGACCAGTACGCCTCTCTGTTCTAGATGGTAGAGACCAGTACGCCTCTCTGTTCTAGATGGTAGAGACCAGTGACACCTCTCTGTTCTAGATGGTAGAGACCAGTACGCCTCTTGTCTAGATGTAAGACCAGTCGCTCTCGTTCTAGATGGTTAGAGACCAGTACGCCTCTCTGTTTCTAGATGGTAGAGCCTAGTACCTCTGTAATTGTAAGAGATAGTGGTTGATGGATAGAGACCAGTACGCCACTTTGTTTAGATGGTTTAAGACCATTAAAGACACCTGACATTTAAGGTGGGATGGATCAAACACTTGCAGACTTTTTGGGGTTCCCTACCCTGTTTAAGGAGGGAGGGAGCTAGAGCGAGAGCGATAGTGAGAGAGAGAGAGAGAGAGAGAGAGAGAGAGAGAGAGAGAGAGAGGAGAGGAGAGAGGAGAGAGAGAGAGAGAGAGAGAGAGAGAGAGAGACAGAGAGAGAGAGAGTAGAGAGAGAGAATGGAGAGAGAGAGAGAGAGGTGAAGAGAGAAGAGAGCGAGGAGAGTAGAGAGGAGTAATAGAGAGAGAAGAGAGAGAGAGAGGGAGGGAGGGAGGAGAGTAGGAGAAGAGGTAGGGAGAGAGGGAGGAGGAGAAGAGGCCCGAGAGAGGCAGCGGGGTATGAGAGAGAGAGAGAGAGAGTAGACGCGAGAGATGAGAGAGAGAGAGAGAGAGGAGGGAAGGGTGGTTGAGTGATAATGTGTAGAAGAAGGAGGGGGTGTAGAGGAGCGGTACACTCTATCACTACTTTGAGAGCTCTGCCTCTTCAGCCAACTGCTCCCTCTCTTCTCTCCTCCTCTCTCCATCCAGGCGAATGGACAAACACAGCCTGAAAAAAAGGCAAGCAGGCAAGAGAGAGAGCGAGAGAGAGGGGAGGAAACACAAGGCAACAGTACAGGAGGTTAATAATCAGACTGGAGAGTTAGCAGCTTGTTTCCAGGAGTGAGTCGTCCCAGCTGAACACCGCGGAGAGAACAGGAAGCAATCTTCTCTTCCTGCGTGTGTGTGTGTGTGTGTGTTGATGAGTGTGAGAGTGTATGTGTGTATGAGTGTTTGTGTATCTGTCCAGACAGACAGAGTTCAGTGGAATAGCAGGAGTTACTTTTGGGGAAGACAGCTGGACTCATCCATTGCAACAGCGATACAGAGACTCTCTGACAACTGAAAGAGCAGCAGCAGCCACTTCAAGGAGAGTAACACACTGTGGATGAATTGAGGGAATGAGAAGAGGAAGACCGAGAGACTGAGAAAGTCAAGGAGGGAAGAGAGAAAGACTCTTTGGTCTCTTCTCTGCTCTGCAAAGTGTGACGACCCTCCATCTCCCCTCTCCATCTACCCTGACCCTTCTCCCTCTCCCTCACTCCTCTTCCCCCTCTTCTCCTCCACTCCTCTTCCCCCTGTCGTCGTCTCGCCTAACATGGGCCGGCTGCTGGCCCTAGCCCTGGCCTACCTGGTGTACCTGTCGACTGCAGTGATTGGCTCAGAGAAGAAGCAGCACCGGGTGCAGAATGGGCCCTGCAGTTACACCTTCATACTCCCCGAGGTGGAACACTGCCAACCCCTCAAAGACTTCCAGGTCACCAACTCCCTCCAGAGGGACTCCCCACCACCACCGCCGGCCCCAGACCCAGGATCGAGTCACCCTGAGCAGGCCAAAGCCCAGTCCGCTAGGCCCTCATGGCAGGAGAGGAAGCTGGAGAGTCTGGAGAGCACCACAGAGAAAAATAGACAGTGGTTGCAGAAGGTAAGAATCTCTGTCATCATGTGTTGCTTCCTCCTCTTGTCTTTTCTGTTCCCCTCCAGGGTTCACTAAAACAGAGGTATTCCCTAAAGAGTGTGTGTGTGTGTGTCTGAGTCTGTATTTAACACCACTGGGTAGCACTACTGATTCAGATATGTGTATCAGTACATTAACAAAACAAACCCAACAATCAAAGAGCAGTTACGCTAACCTCAATAAATGCTAAGAAAATGTGTGTGTGTGTGTGTGTGTGTGTGTGTGTGTGTGTGTGTGTGTGTGTGTGTGTGAGTGAGTGTGTGTGTGAGTGTGTACGTGCGTGCGTGCGTGTGTGTCAGTGTGTGAGTCACCAGAATGTCTGCATAAATGGAACAATTGTTTATCTAACAGACATTTTAACAAGTCTGGTTTAGCGGTTTATTGGGCCATGGCCTTTACTATGACTGGGCCATTTAAACCATTCTCTGAACTAATAAACTGTAGCAGAGAGATTAACAGTGTTTTCACTGTTAAGGTCATCTGGGGTCAGATCAGGTCCATTCTCTGGACCACACAGAGGCAGTATTGTCTGTCTCTATCTTGCATTTATTTTTAAAAGGTCATTGCTATTTTTACAGGGTGAGTGAGTAAACTCACCAATCTCTCTGTGTGTTCTGAGATATAACCTCTGACCTCGCTGTTGAGAGAAACAGGAAGCCTCTGGACAGAAGTTGCCCTCGTGCAGATATTTAGGATCAGATTACCTTTCCACCAATACTAACCGTGGTTGCCTCTCAAATGGCACCCTGTCAGGTCTATATAGAGGTCAACAGCTCCCTGTCAGGTCTATATAGAGGTCCTCAACACCTCCCTGTCTGGTCTATATAGAGGTCCTCAACACCTCCCTGTCTGGTCTATATAGAGGTCCTCAACACCTCCCTGTCAGGTCTATATAGAGGTCCTCAACACCTCCCTGTCTGGTCTATATAGAGGTCCTCAACACCTCCCTGTCAGGTCTATATAGAGGTCCTCAACACCTCCCTGTCTGGTCTATATAGAGGTCAACACCTCCCTGTCAGGTCTATATAGAGGTCCTCAACACCTCCCTGTCTGGTCTATATAGAGGTCCTCAACACCTCCCTGTCTGGTCTATATAGAGGTCCTCAACACCTCCCTGTCTGGTCTATATAGAGGTCCTCAACACCTCCCTGTCAGGTCTATATAGAGGTCAACACCTCCCTGTCAGGTCTATATAGAGGTCCTCAACACCTCCCTGTCAGGTCTATATAGAGGTCAACACCTCCCTGTCAGGTCTATATAGAGGTCCTCAACACCTCCCTGTCTGGTCTATATAGAGGTCCTCAACACCTCCCTGTCTGGTCTATATAGAGGTCAACACCTCCCTGTCAGGTCTATATAGAGATCCTCAACACCTCCCTGTCTGGTCTATATAGAGGTCAACACCTCCCTGTCTGGTCTATATAGAGGTCAACACCTCCCTGTCTGGTCTATATAGAGGTCAACACCTCCCTGTCAGGTCCATATAGAGGTCCTCAACACCTCCCTGTCTGGTCTATATAGAGGTCCTCAACACCTCCCTGTCAGGTCTATATAGAGGTCAACACCTCCCTGTCAGGTCTATATAGAGGTCCTCAACACCTCCCTGTCAGGTCTATATAGAGGTCCTCAACACCTCCCTGTCTGGTCTATATAGAGGTCAACACCTCCCTGTCAGGTCTATATAGAGGTCCTCAACACCTCCCTGTCAGGTCTATATAGAGGTCCTCAACACCACCCTGTCTGGTCTATATAGAGGTCCTCAACACCACCCTGTCTGGTCTATATAGAGGTCCTCAACACCTCCCTGTCAGGTCTATATAGAGGTCAACACCTCCCTGTCTGGTCTATATAGAGGTCAACACCTCCCTGTCTGGTCTATATGGAGGTCCTCAACACCTCCCTGTCAGGTCTATATAGAGGTCCTCAACACCTCCCTGTCAGGTCTATATAGAGGTCCTCAACACCTCCCTGTGTGGTCTATATAGAGGTCAACACCTCCCTGTCTGGTCTATATAGAGGTCCTCAACACCTCCCTGTCAGGTCTATATAGAGGTCCTCAACACCTCCCTGTCTGGTCTATATAGAGGTCCTCAACACCTCCCTGTCAGGTCTATATAGAGGTCCTCAACACCTCCCTGTCTGGTCTATATAGAGGTCCTCAACACCTCCCTGTCAGGTCTATATAGAGGTCCTCAACACCTCCCTGTCTGGTCTATATAGAGGTCCTCAACACCTCCCTGTCAGGTCTATATAGAGGTCAACACCTCCCTGTCTGGTCTATATAGAGGTCCTCAACACCTCCCTGTCAGGTCTATATAGAGGTCCTCAACACCTCCCTGTCAGGTCTATATAGAGGTCCTCAACACCTCCCTGTCAGGTCTATATAGAGGTCCTCAACACCTCCCTGTCAGGTCTATATAGAGGTCAACACCTCCCTGTCTGGTCTATATAGAGGTCCTCAACACCTCCCTGTCAGGTCTATATAGAGGTCAACACCTCCCTGTCTGGTCTATATAGAGGTCCTCAACACCTCCCTGTCAGGTCTATATAGAGGTCCTCAACACCTCCCTGTCAGGTCTATATAGAGGTCCTCAACACCTCCCTGTCAGGTCTATATAGAGGTCAACACCTCCCTGTCTGGTCTATATAGAGGTCCTCAACACCTCCCTGTCAGGTCTATATAGAGGTCCTCAACACCTCCCTGTCAGGTCTATATAGAGGTCCTCAACACCACCCTGTCTGGTCTATATAGAGGACCTCAACACCTCCCTGTCAGGTCTATATAGAGGTCCTCAACACCTCCCTGTCTGGTCTATATAGAGGAAAACACCTCCCTGTATGGTCTATATAGAGGTCATCAACACCTCCCTGTCAGGTCTATATAGAGGTCAACACCTCCCTGTCTGGTCTATATAGAGGTCCTCAACACCTCCCTGTCAGGTCTATATAGAGGTCCTCAACACCTCCCTGTCAGGTCTATATAGAGGTCCTCAACACCTCCCTGTCAGGTCTATATAGAGGTCCTCAACACCTCCCTGTCTGGTCTATATAGAGGTCCTCAACACCTCCCTGTCTGGTCTATATAGAGGACCTCAACACCTCCCTGTCTGGTCTATATAGAGGTCCTCAACACCTCCCTGTCTGCTCTATATAGAGGTCCTCAACACCTCCCTGTCTGGTCTATATAGAGGTCAACACCTCCCTGTCAGGTCTATATAGAGGTCCTCAACACCTCCCTGTCTGGTCTATATAGAGGTCCTCAACACCTCCCTGTCTGGTCTATATAGAGGTCCTCAACACCTCCCTGTCTGGTCTATATAGAGGTCCTCAACACCTCCCTGTCTGGTCTATATAGAGGTCCTCAACACCTCCCTGTCAGGTCTATATAGAGGTCCTCAACACCTCCCTGTCAGGTTATATAGAGGTCCTCAACACCTCCCTGTCTGGTCTATATAGAGGTCCTCAACACCTCCCTGTCTGGTCTATATAGAGGTCCTCAACACCTCCCTGTCAGGTCTATATAGAGGTCCTCAAACACCTCCCTGTCTGGTCTATATAGAGGTCCTCAACACCTCCCTGTCTGGTCTATATAGAGGTCCTCAACACCTCCCTGTCAGGTCTATGTAGAGGTCCTCAACACCTCCCTGTCAGGTCTATATAGAGGTCCTCAACACCTCCCTGTCTGGTCTATATAGAGGTCCTCAACACCTCCCTGTCTGGTCTATATAGAGGTCCTCAACACCTCCCTGTCTGGTCTATATAGAGGTCCTCAACACACCTCCCTGTCAGGTCTATATAGAGGTCCTCAACACCTCCCTGTCTGGTCTATATAGAGGTCCTCAACACCTCCCTGTCAGGTCTATGTAGAGGTCCTCAACACCTCCCTGTCTGGTCTATATAGAGGTCCTCAACACCTCCCTGTCAGGTCTATGTAGAGGTCCTCAACACCTCCCTGTCAGGTCTATATAGAGGTCCTCAACACCTTCCTGTCTGGTCTATATAGAGGTCCTCAACACCTCCCTGTCTGGTCTATATAGAGGTCAACACCTCCCTGTCAGGTCTATATAGAGGTCCTCAACACCTCCCTGTCTGGTCTATATAGAGGTCCTCAACACCTCCCTGTCTGGTCTATATAGAGGTCCTCAACACCTCCCTGTCTGGTCTATATAGAGGTCCTCAACACCTCCCTGTCTGGTCTATATAGAGGTCAACACCTCCCTGTCTGGTCTATATAGAGGTCCTCAACACCTCCCTGTCTGGTCTATATAGAGGTCCTCAACACCTCCCTGTCTGGTCTATATAGAGGTCCTCAACACCTCCCTGTCAGGTCTATATAGAGGTCCTCAACAGCTCCCTGTCAGGTCTATATAGAGGTCCTCAACACCTCCCTGTCTGGTCTATATAGAGGTCCTCAACACCTCCCTGTCTGGTCTATATAGAGGTCCTCAACACCTCCCTGTCAGGTCTATATAGAGGTCCTCAACACCTCCCTGTCTGGTCTATATAGAGGTCAACACCTCCCTGTCTGGTCTATATAGAGGTCCTCAACACCTCCCTGTCAGGTCTATATAGAGGTCAACACCTCCCTGTCTGGTCTATATAGAGGTCCTCAACACCTCCCTGTCAGGTCTATATAGAGGTCCTCAACACCTCCCTGTCAGGTCTATATAGAGGTCCTCAACACCTCCCTGTCAGGTCTATATAGAGGTCCTCAACACCTCCCTGTCAGGTCTACATAGATGTCCTCAACACCTCCCTGTCAGGTCTATATAGAGGTCCTCAACACCTCCCTGTCAGGTCTATATAGAGGTCCTCAACAACTCCCTGTCTGGTCTATATAGAGGTCCTCAACTCCCTCCTGTCTGGTCTATATAGAGGTCCTCAACACCTCCCTGTCAGGTCTATATAGAGGTCCTCAACACCTCCCTGTCTGGTCTATATAGAGGTCATCAACACCTCCCTGTCAGGTCTATATAGAGGTCCTCAACACCTCCCTGTCAGGTCTATATAGAGGTCCTCAACACCTCCCTGTCAGGTCTATATAGAGGTCAACACCTCCCTGTCTGGTCTATATAGAGGTCCTCAACACCACCCTGTCAGGTCTATATAGAGGTCCTCAACACCTCCCTGTCAGGTCTATATAGAGGTCCTCAACACCTCCCTGTCAGGTCTATATAGAGGTCCTCAACACCTCCATGTCAGGTCTATATAGAGGTCCTCAACACCTCCCTGTCAGGTCTATATAGAGGTCCTCAACACCTCCTTGTCAGGTCTATATAGAGGTCCTCAACACCTCCCTGTCTGGTCTATATAGAGGTCCTCAACTCCCTCCTGTCTGGTCTATATAGAGGTCCTCAACACCTCCCTGTCAGGTCTATATAGAGGTCCTCAACACCTCCCTGTCTGGTCTATATAGAGGTCCTCAACACCTCCCTGTCTGGTCTATATAGAGGTCCTCAATACCTCCCTGTCAGGTCTATATAGAGGTCCTCAACACCTCCCTGTCAGGTCTATATAGAGGTCCTCAACACCTCCCTGTCTGGTCTATATAGAGGTCCTCAACACCTCCCTGTCAGGTCTATATAGAGGTCAACACCTCCCTGTCTGGTCTATATAGAGGTCCTCAACACCTCCCTGTCAGGTCTATATAGAGGTCAACACCTCCCTGTCTGGTCTATATAGAGGTCCTCAACACCTCCCTGTCAGGTCTATATAGAGGTCCTCAACACCTCCCTGTCTGGTCTATATAGAGGTCCTCAACACCTCCCTGTCTGGTCTATATAGAGGTCCTCAACACCTCCCTGTCAGGTCTATATAGAGGTCCTCAACACCTCCCTGTCAGGTCTATATAGAGGTCCTCAACACCTCCCTGTCTGGTCTATATAGAGGTCCTCAAAACCTCCCTGTCTGGTCTATATAGAGGTCCTCAACACCTCCCTGTCTGGTCTATATAGAGGTCCTCAACACCTCCCTGTCAGGTCTATGTAGAGGTCCTCAACACCTCCCTGTCAGGTCTATATAGAGGTCAACACCTCCCTGTCTGGTCTATATAGAGGTCAACACCTCCCTGTCAGGTCTATATAGAGGTCCTCAACACCTCCCTGTCTGGTCTATATAGAGGTCAACACCTCCCTGTTTGGTCTATATAGAGGTCCTCAACACCTCCCTGTCAGGTCTATATAGAGGTCCTCAACACCTCCCTGTCTGGTCTATATAGAGGTCCTCAACACCTCCCTGTCTGGTCTATATAGAGGTCCTCAACACCTCCCTGTCAGGTCTATATAGAGGTCAACACCTCCCTGTCAGGTCTATATAGAGGTCCTCAACACCACCCTGTCAGGTCTATATAGAGGTCCTCAACACCTCCCTGTCAGGTCTATATAGAGGTCCTCAACACCTCCCTGTCAGGTCTATATAGAGGTCCTCAACACCTCCCTGTCTGGTCTATATAGAGGTCCTCAACACCTCCCTGTCAGGTCTATATAGAGGTCCTCAACACCTCCCTGTCAGGTCTATATAGAGGTCCTCAACACCTCCCTGTCTGGTCTATATAGAGGTCCTCAACACCTCCCTGTCTGGTCTATATAGAGGTCCTCAACACCTCCCTGTCTGGTCTATATAGAGGTCCTCAACACCTCCCTGTCAGGTCTATGTAGAGGTCCTCAACACCTCCCTGTCAGGTCTATATAGAGGTCAACACCTCCCTGTCTGGTCTATATAGAGGTCAACACCTCCCTGTCAGGTCTATATAGAGGTCCTCAACACCTCCCTGTCTGGTCTATATAGAGGTCAACACCTCCCTGTCTGGTCTATATAGAGGTCCTCAACACCTCCCTGTCAGGTCTATATAGAGGTCCTCAACACCTCCCTGTCAGGTCTATATAGAGGACCTCAACACCTCCCTGTCAGGTCTATATAGAGGTCCTCAACACCTCCCTGTCAGGTCTATATAGAGGTCCTCAACACCTCCCTGTCAGGTCTATATAGAGGACCTCAACACCTCCCTGTCAGGTCTATATAGAGGTCCTCAACACCTCCCTGTCAGGTCTATATAGAGGACCTCAACACCTCCCTGTCTGGTCTATATAGAGGTCCTCAACACCTCCCTGTCAGGTCTATATAGAGGTCAACACCTCCCTGTCAGGTCTATATAGAGGTCCTCAACACCACCCTGTCAGGTCTATATAGAGGTCCTCAACACCTCCCTGTCAGGTCTATATAGAGGTCAACACCTCCCTGTCAGGTCTATATAGAGGTCCTCAACACCTCCCTGTCTGGTCTATATAGAGGTCCTCAACACCTCCCTGTCTGGTCTATATAGAGGTCCTCAACACCTCCCTGTCTGGTCTATATAGAGGTCCTCAACACCTCCCTGTCAGGTCTATATAGAGGTCCTCAACACCACCCTGTCAGGTCTATATAGAGGCCCTCAACACCTCCCTGTCTGGTCTATATAGAGGTCCTCAACACCTCCCTGTCAGGTCTATATAGAGGTCCTCAACACCTCCCTATCAGGTCTATATAGAGGTCCTCAACACCTCCCTGTCAGGTCTATATAGAGGTCCTCAACACCTCCCTGTCAGGTCTATATAGAGGTCCTCAACACCTCCCTGTCAGGTCTATATAGAGGTCCTCAACACCTCCCTGTCAGGTCTATATAGAGATTGAACTTCACGGAGTTCGCCCCATTAGTTTGCAGTATATAGATCAACGTTTTTTTGTGTGATCGAATCAACATTATATCAGCCCCTTTTCAATGCAACAAAGCAAGATTGAGTCTGTGATTTTTTGTTGTAGGCAGAGCCAGAGCGCAACAGAGTAGAATGATATTAGTTAGCGAGCTATTAGCCCAGTTATAGATAAGTATAGGTCAGCAATGGGGAGTTAGATACTGCTTCCTACAAGAGCACAACACGTTTAGGCTACATTTCAAGCTGTCTTTGAAAAGCCAGTCAGGTAAAAAGCTTACGTCTTAATTAAAGGGGCAGGGTTGTGTTTTGAGACAGGCTTGAATGTGCAAATTAGCCAATAGGCAGAGGAGTAGCCTGCATTGTCGAATTCTCTGTATGGTGCTAATCATTTTATTTGATTATTATTATATTATTATAAAGTGGTTTCTTGCATCAAACAACACAATACAATGTCATTTACAGTCACCTGTTTGGCCCCTGGTGTTACAGACCAAGTAAAAAAATCATTAATTAATGTCAAGCCCTTCGTAATGTAAAAACGGTTTTAAAAGTCAGTTGCAATGTAGGCCCGCATTGAACACCACATAGAGGCTACTGTAGGCTATATCATAGAAATCAAAAGCTATTTCCATGTGTAAATGTTATGGGATTCGCTCCATTGGTTTTGTTGGTAGGCCTACATTATGCTCAGATAGCCACAATAACCTGTTGGCTACTGTCTAAAACTGTCAGGGTACAGCCTGTTGGCTACTGTCTAAAACTGTCAGGATACAGCCTGTTGGCTACTGTCTAAAACTGTCAGGGTACAGCCTGTTGGCTACTGTCTAAAACTGTCAGGATACAGCCTGTTGGCTACTGTCTAAAACTGTCAGGGTACAGCCTGTTGGCTACTGTCTAAAACTGTCAGGATACAGCCTGTTGGCTACTGTCTAAAACTGTCAGGGTACAGCCTGTTGGCTACTGTCTAAAACTGTCAGGATACAGCCTGTTGGCTACTGTCTAAAACTGTCAGGATACAGCCTGTTGGCTACTGTCTAAAACTGTCAGGGTACAGCCTGTTGGATACTGTCTAAAACTGTCAGGATACAGCATCCGTGTTCACAGTAAACGTGCGCTGGAAGTTGCACAAAATTCTCAAAACGTTCAGGTTTCTGCTCACGATCTAACATTTGCTCAGTGCCCCCCAAAATTAGAGGGAACGTTGGTCACAGCTTGGTAATTTTCCGCTGTCAAAATTCATGCCATAACCAACTGCGTTACCGCTAAAACCAGCTTTTGATTGGTCTTAAAATACCCCTATCAGCGCTGCCTGAAATTAGCATGTTGGATTATGTTTTTAACGACACACCTAAAATGTTTCCATCTCGCCCAACTGAGCTCAAACGAGCTGATATGAGACAGGGAAATTGCCGAACCTGGCGTTTGGGCTGGAAAACGCCGGTGAGCCAGATTTTAGATTACAAAATTGCAAGCTAACGTGCGTTTGCCTTAGCGCCAGACAAAAATAGGGCCCACAGTAGTAAAGATAGTCTTCAGTCTTCACTCTGGACTGAGTTACATCATGTTATATTTAGTAGAGACACTCTGGACTGAGTTACATCATGTTATATTTAGTAGAGACACTCTGGACTGAGTTACATCATGTTATATTTAGTAGAGACGCTCTGGACTGAGTTACATCATGTTATATTTAGTAGAGACGCTCTGGACTGAGTTACATCATGTTATATTTAGTAGAGACACTCTGGACTGAGTTACATCATGTTATATTTAGTAGAGACACTCTGGACTGAGTTACATCATGTTATATTTAGTAGAGATACTCTGGACTGAGTTACATCATGTTATATTGGAGTAGAGACACTCTGGACTGAGTTACATCATGTTATATTTAGTAGAGACACTCTGGACTGAGTTACATCATGTTATATTGGAGTAGAGACACTCTGGACTGAGTTACATCATGTTATATTGGAGTAGAGACACTCTGGACTGAGTTACATCATGTTATATTGGAGTAGAGACACTCTGGACTGAGTTACATCATGTTATATTTAGTAGAGACACTCTGGACTGAGTTACATCATGTTATATTTAGTAGAGACACTCTGGACTGAGTTACATCATGTTATATTTAGTAGAGACACTCTGGACTGAGTTACATCATGTTATATTGGAGTAGAGACACTCTGGACTGAGTTACATCATGTTATATTTAGTAGAGACACTCTGGACTGAGTTACATCATGTTATATTTAGTAGAGACACTCTGGACTGAGTTACATCATGTTATATTTAGTAGAGACACTCTGGACTGAGTTACATCATGTTATATTGGAGTAGAGACACTCTGGACTGAGTTACATCATGTTATATTTAGTAGAGACACTCTGGACTGAGTTACATCATGTTATATTTAGTAGAGACGCTCTGGACTGAGTTACATCATGTTATATTTAGTAGAGACACTCTGGACTGAGTTACATCATGTTATATTTAGTAGAGACACTCTGGACTGAGTTACATCATGTTATATTTAGTAGAGACGCTCTGGACTGAGTTACATCATGTTATATTACTAATCCCGTATTTAAACTCCTCCCAGTTCTCATAACTAATGTCATATTGTCTTCCTACATCTGACTTCTCATAGACATAATAACATAACTGTGATTACTTCAGGAGAGAGAGGAGAGAGAGAAAGAGGTAGAGAGAGAGAAAGAAAGATTACATGATGCCGAAGTGTGCTGACTCATTTAACTTTTGTTTTCTCTCTCTGTATTTCTCTCTCTCTGTATTTCTCTCTCTCTCTGTATTTCTCTCTCTCTGTATTTCTCTCTCTCTGTATTTCTCTCTCTCTGTATTTCTCTCTCTCTGTATTTCTCTCTCTGTGTATTTCTCTCCGTCTGTATTTCTCTCTCTCTGTATTTCTCTCTCTCTGTATTTCTCTCTCTCTGTAATTCTCTCTCTCTGTATTTCTCTCTCTCTGTATTTCTCTCTCTCTGTAATTCTCTCTCTCTGTATTTCTCTCTCTCTGTATTTCTCTCTCTCTGTATTTCTCTCTCTCTGTATTTCTCCTCTCTGTGTATTTCTCTCTCGTCTGTATTTGCTCTCTCTCTGTATTTCTCTCTCTGTATTTTCTCTCTCCTCTGTAATTTCTCTCTCTCCTGTATTTTCTCCTCTCTCTGTATTTCTCTCTCTCTGTAATTATCATCTCTCTGTATTTCTCTCTCTCTGTATTTCTCTCTCTCTGTAATTCTCTCTCTCTGTATTTCTCTCTCTCTGTATTCTCTCTCTCTGTATTTCTCTCTCTCTGTATTTCTCTCTCTCTGTAATTCTCTCTCTCTGTATTTCTCTCTCTCTGTATTTCTCTCTCTCTCTGTATTTCTCTCTCTCTCTGTATTTCTCTCTCTCTGTATTTCTCTCTCTCTGTATTTCTCTCTCTGGTATTTCTTCTCTCTCTGTATTTCTCTCTCTCTGTAATTCTCTCTCTCTGTATTTCTCTCTCTCTGTATTTCTCTCTCTCTGTAATTCTCTCTCTCTGTATTTCTCTCTCTGTATTTCTCTCTCTCTGTATTTCTCTCTCTCTCTGTATTTCTCTCTCTCTGTATTTCTCTCTCTCTGTATTTCTCTCTCTCTGTATTTCTCTCTTTCTGTATTTCTCTCTCTCTGTATTTCTCTCTTTCTGTATTTCTCTCTCTCTGTATTTCTCTCTCTCTGTATTTTTCTCTTTCTGTATTTCTCTCTCTCTTTATTTCTTTCTCTCTTTAACTCTTTCGCTCTTTCTCTCTCCTTTACATTTAATTGAAGGCTTGGAACATGTTGTGGTCACATTTTTGGAATCACTCACTTCTTGGAAACAATTATTAGGTAAACAAATAATCATGGTTGTTTTAAAAAGCCTTATGACCTCTGACCTCTCTACATTGTTGTGTCTGGTCAGTAGAATGACCTCTGACCTATCTACATTGCTGTGTTTGGTCAGTAGAATGACCTCTGACCTATCTACATTGCTGTGTTTGGTCAGTAGAATGACCTCTGACCTCTCTACATTGATGTGTCTGGTCAGTAGAATGACCTCTGACCTCTCTACATTGTTGTGTCTTGTCAGTAGAATGACCTTTGACCTCTCTACATTGCTGTGTTTGGTCAGTAGAATGACCTCTGACCTCTCTACATTGCTGTTTCTGGTCATTAGAATGACCTCTGACCTCTCTACATTGTTGTGTCTGGTCAGTAGAATGACCTCTGACCTCTCTACATTGCTGTTTCTGGTCATTAGAATGACCTCTGACCTCTCTACATTGTTGTGTCTGGTCAGTAGAATGACCTCTGACCTCTCTACATTGTTGTGTCTGGTCAGTAGAATGACTTCTCTACATTGTTGTGTCTGGTCATTAGAATGACCTCTGACCTCTCTACATTGTTGTGTCTGGTCATTAGAATGACCTCTGACCTCTCTACATTGTTGTGTCTGGTCAGTAGAATGACTTCTCTACATTGTTGTGTCTGGTCAGTAGAATGACCTCTGACCTCTCTACATTGTTGTTTCTGGTCAGTAGAATGACTTCTCTACATTGTTGTGTCTGGTCATTAGAATGACCTCTGACCTCTCTACATTGTTGTGTCTGGTCAGTAGAATGACTTCTCTACATTGTTGTGTCTGGTCATTAGAATGACCTCTGACCTCTCTACATTGTTGTGTCTGGTCATTAGAATGACCTCTACATTGTTGTGTCTGGTCAGTAGAATGACCTCTGACCTCTCTACATTGTTGAGTCTGGTCAGTAGAATGACTTCTCTACATTGTTGTGTCTGGTCAGTAGAATGACCTCTGACCTCTCTACATTGTTGAGTCTGGTCAGTAGAATTACTTCTCTACATTGTTGTGTCTGGTCAGTAGAATGACTTCTCTACATTGCTGTGTCTGACCTGGGCCCTAGTACACTATTTTATATAGGGAACAGGGTGCCATTCTCTGGTCTAATGTAGTGCACTATGTAGGGAACAGGGTGCCATTTGGCACACATCCATAAATATGAATGTGTTCCATTCAATATCTCACTATAGCTTTATTGCGAGGCGATGACAGGAGCCCCATAAAAGGTGGACCGAAATCCCATCAGTCATAAAACTGCGGAGGAAACATTTTAACTAATGACGTTGGCGAGCCAGGTGGATTTGTCTTCCATCTTCATTGTTCGCTCAAACAGCCACATCAATAAGAAATACTGTTTATTGCCACAAGATGGATGGGGTTTCTATTTTTATAACTCCTATAAAATACAATGTGATGTTCTTCCCTTTTTGCCTCAGAGCCGATCATGGATTATATTTGAATGAACAAGTGTCCCTGAAGTCAAAAGCACAACTGCCGTGTTTTTAGTACATCGCTTTCAGGCTACGTCCCTCTGGAGTTAACTGGTACCTTCCCCAACACCAGGCTACGTCCCTCTGGAGTTAACTGGTATCTTCCCCAACACCAGGCTACGTCCCTCTGGAGTTAACTGGTACCTTCCCCAACACCAGGCTACGTCCCTCTGGAGTTAACTGGTACCTTCCCCAACACCAGGCTACGTCCCTCTGGTGTTAACTGTACCTTCCCAACACCCGCTACGTCCCTGGAGTTAACTGGTACCTTCCCCAACACCAGGCTACGTCCCTCTGGAGTTAACTGGTACCAACAATGTTGTTGTCATTCCATCAGGCTGTTGTTGTCATTCCATCAGGCTGTTGTTGTCATTCCATCAGGCTTGTTTTATCCATCGTGTTGTTGTCATTCCATCAGGCTGTGTTGTTGTCATTCCATCAGGCTGTTGTTGTCATTCCATCAGGCTGTTGTTGTCATTCCATCAGGCTGTTTGTGTCATTCCATCAGGCGTTGTTTGTGTTGGTCATTCCATCAGGCTGTTGTTGTCATTCCATCAGGCTGTTGTTGTCATTCCATCAGGCTGTGTTGTCATTCCATCAGGCTGTTGTTGTTCATTCCATCAGGCTGTTTGTTGTCATTCCATCAGGCTGTTGTTGTCATCCATCAGGCTGTTGTTGTCATTCCATCAGGCTGTTTGCTGTCATTCCATCAGGCTGTTGTTGTCATTCCATCAGGCTGTTTGTTGTCATTCCATCAGGCTGTTTGTTGTCATTCCATCAGGCTGTTTGTTGTCATTCCATCAGGCTGTTGTTGTCATTCCATCAGGCTGTTTGCTGTCATTCCATCAGGCTGTTTGCTGTCATTCCATCAGGCTGTTGTTGTCATTCCATCAGGCTGTTGTTGTCATTCCATCAGGCTGTTGTTGTCATTCCATCAGGCTGTTGTTGTCATTCCATCAGGCTGTTTGTTGTCATTCCATCAGGCTGTTTGTTGTCATTCCATCAGGCTGTTGTTGTCATTCCATCAGGCTGTTGTTGTCATTCCATCAGGCTGTTTGCTGTCATTCCATTAGGCTGTTGTTGTCATTCCATCAGGCTGTTGTTGTCATTCCATCAGGCTGTTTGTTGTCATTCCATCAGGCTGTTGTTGTCATTCCATCAGGCTGTTGTTGTCATTCCATCAGGCTGTTTGTTGTCATTCCATCAGGCTGTTGTTGTCATTCCATCAGGCTGTTTGTTGTCATTCCATCAGGCTGTTGTTGTCATTCCATCAGGCTGTTTGTTGTCATTCCATCAGGCTGTTGTTGTCATTCCATCAGGCTGTTTGCTGTCATTCCATCAGGCTGTTTGCTGTCATTCCATCAGGCTGTTGTTGTCATTCCATCAGGCTGTTTGCTGTCATTCCATCAGGCTGTTGTTGTCATTCCATCAGGCTGTTGTTGTCATTCCATCAGGCTGTTTGTTGTCATTCCATCAGGCTGTTGTTGTCATTCCATCAGGCTGTTTGTTGTCATTCCATCAGGCTGTTTGTTGTCATTCCATCAGGCTGTTGTTGTCATTCCATCAGGCTGTTTGTTGTCATTCCATCAGGCTGTTGTTGTCATTCCATCAGGCTGTTTGTTGTCATTCCATCAGGCTGTTGTTGTCATTCCATCAGGCTGTTTGTTGTCATTCCATCAGGCTGTTGTTGTCATTCCATCAGGCTGTTTGCTGTCATTCCATTACCCTGGTCAGTGGTTCAATAGATTCTTTAAAGAAAGATTTGGAAGGATGGCCCCACAAGAGTAAGGGACTTACGACTGACATTTCTTTGTAAAAGCGGGACAAGGTAGAAAATCTGTGACACATAGTAGAGGGTGAGTGTGTGTGTCTGTGACAGAGAGAGGGAGAGTGTGTTTGTGACAGAGAGAGGGAGAGTGTTTGTGACAGAGAGAGGGAGAGTGTTTGTGACAGAGAGAGGGAGAGTGTTTGTGACAGAGAGAGGGAGAGTGTGTTTGTGACAGAGAGAGGGAGAGTGTTTGTGACAGAGAGAGGGAGAGTGTTTGTGACAGAGAGAGGGAGAGTGTTTGTGACAGAGAGAGGGAGAGTGTGTTTGTGACAGAGAGAGGGAGAGTGTGTTTGTGGCAGAGAGAGGGAGAGTGTGTTTGTGACATTGCTGGAAATATATGAATCCACTTTGGTGTCAGTCACTTTGATGTTGGACTGTGTCAGCATAATGGAGATGTCCTGTAGTTTAACAGGCCTAATGACTGATGTCCTGTAGTTTAACAGGCCTAATGATTGACTGATGTCCTGTAGTTTAACAGGCCTAATGACTGATGTCCTGTAGTTTAACAGGCCTAATGACTGATGTCCTGTAGTTTAACAGGTCTAATGACTGATGTCCTGTAGTTTAACAGGTCTAATGACTGATGTCCTGTAGTTTAACAGGCCTAATGACTGATGTCCTGTAGTTTAACAGGTCTAATGACTGATGTCCTGTAGTTTAACAGGTCTAATGACTGATGTCCTGTAGTTTAACAGGTCTAATGACTGATGTCCTGTAGTTTAACAGGCCTAATGATTGACTGATGTCCTGTAGTTTAACAGGCCTAATGATTGACTGATGTCCTGTAGTTTAACAGGTCTAATGATTGACTGATGTCCTGTAGTTTAACAGGCCTAATGATTGACTGATGTCCTGTAGTTTAACAGGCCTAATGATTGACTGATGTCCTGTAGTTTAACAGGCCTAATGACTGATGTCCTGTAGTTTAACAGGCCTAATGTCTGATGTCCTGTAGTTTAACAGGCCTAATGACTGATGTCCTGTAGTTTAACAGGCCTAATGACTGATGTCCTGTAGTTTAACAGGCCTAATGACTGATGTCCTGTAGTTTAACAGGTCTAATGATTGACTGATGTCCTGTAGTTTAACAGGCCTAATGATTGACTGATGTCCTGTAGTTTAACAGGCCTAATGATTGACTGATGTCCTGTAGTTTAACAGGTCTAATGATTGACTGATGTCCTGTAGTTGAACAGGCCTAATGATTGATGTCCTGTAGTTTAACAGGCCTAATGATTGACTGATGTCCTGTAGTTTAACAGGCCTAATGATTGACTGATGTCCTGTAGTTTAACAGGTCTAATGATTGACTGATGTCCTGTAGTTGAACAGGCCTAATGATTGATGTCCTGTAGTTTAACAGGCCTAATGATTGACTGATGTCCTGTAGTTTAACAGGTCTAATGATTGACTGATGTCCTGTAATTTAACAGGCCTAATGACTGATGTCCTGTAGTTTAACAGGCCTAATGACTGATGTCCTGTAGTTTAACAGGCCTAATGACTGACTGATGTCCTGTAGTTGAACAGGTCTAATGATTGATCTCCTGTAGTTTAACAGGCCTAATGACTGATGTCCTGTAGTTTAACAGGCCTAATGACTGATGTCCTGTAGTTTAACAGGTCTAATGACTGATGTCCTGTAGTTTAACAGGCCTAATGATTGATCTCCTGTAGTTTAACAGGCCTAATGACTGACTGATGTCCTGTAATTTAACAGGCCTAATGACTGATGTCCTGTAGTTTAACAGGTCTAATGATTGATCTCCTTTAGTTTAACAGGCCTAATGACTGATATCCTGTAGTTGAACAGGTCTAATGATTGACTGATGTCCTGTAGTTTAACAGGCCTAATGACTGATGTCCTGTAGTTTAACAGGTCTAATGATTGACTGATGTCCTGTAGTTTAACAGGCCTAATGACTGATGTCCTGTAGTTTAACAGGTCTAATGATTGACTGATGTCCTGTAGTTTAACAGGCCTAATGACTGATGTCCTGTAGTTTAACAGGCCTAATGACTGATGTCCTGTAGTTTAACAGGTCTAATGATTGACTGATGTCCTGTAGTTTAACAGGCCTAATGACTGATGTCCTGTAGTTTAACAGGCCTAATGACTGATGTCCTGTAGTTTAACAGGTCTAATGATTGACTGATGTCCTGTAGTTTAACAGGCCTAATGACTGATATCCTGTAGTTGAACAGGTCTAATGATTGACTGATGTCCTGTAGTTTAACAGGCCTAATGACTGATGTCCTGTGGTTTAACAGGCCTAATGACTGATGTCCTGTAGTTTAACAGGCCTAATGATTGATCTCCTGTAGTTTAACAGGCCTAATGACTGATATCCTGTAGTTGAACAGGTCTAATGATTGACTGATGTCCTGTAATTTAACAGGCCTAATGATTGACTGATGTCCTGTAGTTTAACAGGCCTAATGATTGACTGATGTCCTGTAGTTTAACAGGCCTAATGACTGATGTCCTGTAGTTTAACAGGTCTAATGACTGATGTCCTGTAGTTTAACAGGCCTAATGACTGATGTCCTGTAGTTTAACAGGCCTAATGATTGACTGATGTCCTGTAGTTTAACAGGCCTAATGACTGATGTCCTGTAGTTTAACAGGCCTAATGATTGACTGATGTCCTGTAGTTTAACAGGCCTAATGACTGATATCCTGTAGTTGAACAGGTCTAATGATTGACTGATGTCCTGTAGTTTAACAGGCCTAATGACTGATGTCCTGTAGTTTAACAGGTCTAATGACTGATGTCCTGTAGTTTAACAGGTCTAATGACTGATGTCCTGTAGTTTAACAGGCCTAATGACTGATGTCCTGTAGTTTAACAGGTCTAATGACTGATGTCCTGTAGTTTAACAGGTCTAATGACTGATGTCCTGTAGTTTAACAGGCCTAATGATTGACTGATGTCCTGTAGTTTAACAGGCCTAATGACTGACTGATGTCCTGTAGTTTAACAGGCCTAATGATTGACTGATGTCCTGTAGTTTAACAGGTCTAATGACTGATGTCCTGTAATTTAACAGGCCTAATGACTGATGTCCTGTAGTTTAACAGGCCTAATGATTGACTGATGTCCTGTAGTTTAACAGGCCTAATGACTGATGTCCTGTAGTTTAACAGGTCTAATGATTGACTGATGTCCTGTAGTTTAACAGGCCTAATGACTGATGTCCTGTAGTTTAACAGGCCTAATGACTGATGTCCTGTAGTTTAACAGGTCTAATGACTGATGTCCTGTAGTTTAACAGGTCTAATGACTGATGTCCTGTAGTTTAACAGGCCTAATGATTGACTGATGTCCTGTAGTTTAACAGGCCTAATGACTGACTGATGTCCTGTAGTTTAACAGGCCTAATGATTGACTGATGTCCTGTAGTTTAACAGGCCTAATGACTGATGTCCTGTAGTTTAACAGGTCTAATGACTGATGTCCTGTAGTTTAACAGGTCTAATGACTGATGTCCTGTAGTTTAACAGGTCTAATGACTGATGCCCTGTAGTTTAACAGGTCTAATGACTGATGTCCTGTAGTTTAACAGGCCTAATGACTGATGTCCTGTAGTTTAACAGGCCTAATGACTGATGTCCTGTAGTTTAACAGGCCTAATGATTGATGTCCTGTAGTTTAACAGGCCTAATGATTGACTGATGTCCTGTAGTTTAACAGGCCTAATGACTGATGTCCTGTAGTTTAACAGGCCTAATGACTGATGTCCTGTAGTTTAACAGGCCTAATGATTGACTGATGTCCTGTAGTTTAACAGGCCTAATGACTGATGTCCTGTAGTTTAACAGGTCTAATGACTGATGTCCTGTAGTTTAACAGGTCTAATGACTGATGTCCTGTAGTTTAACAGGCCTAATGATTGACTGATGTCCTGTAGTTTAACAGGTCTAATGACTGATGTCCTGTAGTTTAACAGGCCTAATGATTGACTGATGTCCTGTAGTTTAACAGGCCTAATGACTGATGTCCTGTAGTTTAACAGGCCTAATGACTGATGTCCTGTAGTTTAACAGGTCTAATGACTGATGTCCTGTAGTTTAACAGGTCTAATGACTGATGTCCTGTAGTTTAACAGGCCTAATGATTGACTGATGTCCTGTAGTTTAACAGGCCTAATGACTGACTGATGTCCTGTAGTTTAACAGGCCTAATGATTGACTGATGTCCTGTAGTTTAACAGGCCTAATGACTGATGTCCTGTAGTTTAACAGGTCTAATGACTGATGTCCTGTAGTTTAACAGGTCTAATGACTGATGTCCTGTAGTTTAACAGGTCTAATGACTGATGCCCTGTAGTTTAACAGGTCTAATGACTGATGTCCTGTAGTTTAACAGGTCTAATGACTGATGTCCTGTAGTTTAACAGGTCTAATGACTGATGTCCTGTAGTTTAACAGGTCTAATGACTGATGTCCTGTAGTTTAACAGGCCTAATGACTGACTGATGTCCTGTAGTTTAACAGGCCTAATGACTGACTGATGTCCTGTAGTTTAACAGGTCTAATGACTGATGTCCTGTAGTTTAACAGGTCTAATGACTGATGTCCTGTAGTTTAACAGGCCTAATGACTGATGTCCTGTAGTTTAACAGGCCTAATGACTGATGTCCTGTAATTTAACAGGTCAAATGACTGACTGATGTCCTGTAGTTTAACAGGCCTAATGACTGATGTCATGTAGTTTAACAGGTCTAATGATTGATCTCCTGTAGTTTAACAGGCCTAATGACTGATGTCCTGTAGTTTAACAGGCCTAATGACTGATGTCCTGTAGTTTAACAGGTCTAATGATTGATCTCCTGTAGTTTAACAGGCCTAATGACTGACTGATGTCCTGTAGTTTAACAGGTCTAATGATTGACTGATGTCCTGTAGTTTGATGTCCTGTAGTTTAACAGGCCTACTGATTGATGTCCTGTAGTTTAACAGGCCTAATTATTGATCTCCTGTAGTTTAACAGGACTAATGACTGATATCCTGTAGTTGAACAGGCCTAATGACTGATGTCCTGTAGTTTAACAGGCCTAATGACTGATGTCCTGTAGTTTAACAGGCCTAATGACTGATGTCCTGTAGTTGAACAGGCCTAATGACTGATGTCCTGTAGTTTAACAGGCCTAATGACTGATGTCCTGTAGTTTAACAGGCCTAATGACTGATGTCCTGTAGTTTAACAGGTCTAATGATTGATGTCCTGTAGTTTAACAGGTCTAATGATTGACTGATGTCCTGTAGTTTGATGTCCTGTAGTTTAACAGGCCTAATGACTGATTGATGTCCTGTAGTTTAACAGGCCTAATGACTGATGTCCTGTAGTTTAACAGGCCTAATGATTGACTGATGTCCTGTAGTTTAACAGGTCGAATGATTGACTGATGTCCTGTAGTTTAACAGGCCTAATGATTGATCTCCTGTAGTTTAACAGGCCTAATGACTGATGTCCTGTAGTTTAACAGGCCTAATGACTGATGTCCTGTAGTTTAACAGGTCTAATGATTGATGTCCTGTAGTTGAACAGGCCTAATGACTGACTGATGTCCTGTAGTTTAACAGGCCTACTGATTGATGTCCTGTAGTTGAACAGGCCTAATGACTGACTGATGTCCTGTAGTTTAACAGGCCTAATGACTGATGTCCTGTAGTTTAACAGGCCTAATGATTGACTGATGTCCTGTAGTTTAACAGGTCTAATGATTGACTGATGTCCTGTAGTTTAACAGGTCTAATGATTGATGTCCTGTAGTTTAACAGGTCTAATGATTGACTGATGTCCTGTAGTTTAACAGGTCTAATGACTGATGTCCTGTAGTTTAACAGGCCTAACGACTGATGGGAAATGAGAGAAGAGGAGGAATGTTCCTCTGTCTCCTGACCATATTCCCTGTATTCCCTGTATTCCCTGTATTCCCTGTGTTCCCTGTATTCCCTGTATTCCCTGTATTCCCTGTATTCCCTGTGTTCCCTGTATTCCCTGTATTCCCTTCATTCCCTGTGTTCCCTGTATTCCCTGTATTCCCTTTATTCCCTGTGTTCCCTGTATTCCCTGTATTCCCTGTATTCCCTGTATTCCCTGTATTCCAGCTGGAGAGGTACATCCTAATAATTGACTTATGCCCTGTAATTTAACAGGCCTAATGTCTGATGTCCTGTAGTTTAACAGGCCTAATGACTGATGTCCTGTAGTTTAACAGGCCTAATGACTGATGTCCTGTAGTTTAACAGGTCTAATGACTGATGTCCTGTAGTTTAACAGGCCTAATGACTGATGTCCTCTAGTTTAACAGGCCTAATGACTGATGTCCTGTAGTTTAACAGGCCTAATGACTGATGTCCTGTAGTTTAACAGGTCTAATGATTGACTGATGTCCTGTAGTTTAACAGGCCTAATGACTGATGTCCTGTAGTTTAACAGGCCTAATGATTGACTGATGTCCTGTAGTTTTTTTTTTTTATATACTTTGTTTATTGAATTTTCAGTACCAGCATTTAGTAAATAATTGCACTTGAAAGTTATTTGGTATGAATATGGAACAACAATTTGAAGATAACGATACAGCAAAACATGGAGAGACAGACATGAAAGAAAAAATAGACATTAAGTACATAAATAAGATAAAACACAAAAAAAAAAAAAAAAAAAAAAAAAGGAAGAATATCTGTTTTGATCCAGTTGTTATAGGTCAGCTAGCACAGTTATTACCGTCCTTAACATCCGAGATGTCGTATATGCACATACCAGGCTTCTTACATCACCAATATATAAATATACATCACTCTGGAACTGCAGGGAAATGTATTCTTTTGACATAAGAAAAGAAGGGAGCCCACTTTGCATAAAATTTGTCTACAGACCCATTGAGTGTCTGTTTTATTTTCTCCAACTTTATGCAATTCAAAATAGATTTAATCCAAAGAGCATGAGAAGGGGCTGCAGAGGATTTCCATCTAAGTAAAATTAATCGTCTCGCTAACAACGTGACAAAGGCAATTACATCCTTATTCATTTTGGTCAATTGTATTGTGGGTAAGGAAACTCCAAATAATGCAATGAGAGGGTCTGGCTCGATCTGTGTGCCGCTTAATTCTGAGAGTGTGTTAAAGATGTCTTTCCAGAAACCAACAAGAGATGGGCAGCACCAAAACATGTGCACATGATTAGCAGGGGACTGGTTACATCGAACACAATTAGGGTTCACATCCTTGTAAATTTTTGATAGTCTTGCTTTGGTCCAGTGGGCCCTATGAATGAGTTTGCATTGGATGAGGCCGTGTCGAGCGCAAATAGAAGAGCTATGTACCCTTTTGAGTGCCTCTTCCCATAGTTCATCAGATATTTCCTCACCCAGTTCCTCCTCCCAAGAGGATTTGATATTGTTTAATGAGATGGCTTGTAGTGAGCAAATTTGACTATAGATTATTGACATTGTGCCTTTCTGATTAGGAAGAGGGGTGAGAAATGTGTCGAACTGTGTTCCACTAGAAAGGTTGGGGAATCCTGGATCTATGCTGCGGATGTAACTCCGGACTTGTAAGAATCTAAAAAAATGATGTCTGGGGAGACCAAATTTAGCTGATAGTTGTTGAAACGTACTAAATGTATTGTTAGTATACAGATCTCTGAATCTTTTAATACCGAGATTAGACCATGTTGAGAAAGCACCATCAATCATAGATGGGGGAAAAGCTGGGTTTGAGGCTACCGGAGCCAAGGAAGAGGTTGTTTGAAACCCAAAGTGGCGCCTAAATTGATTCCAGATCTTCAATGTTGTTTTGACACATGTATTGTTGGTGAAGGAGGAGTAAGGGCCTGTAATAGAGGAGTGAGCGAGGGAAGACAGTGATGCCGGTGTAGACGAGGCAGCCTCCATCTCCAGCCAAGTTGGGGGTGGGAATATTACTCTGCTCTGCAACCAGTACTGAATGATCCTAAGGTTAGCGGCCCAATAATAGAATCTGAAATCTGGTAGAGCTAGACCGCCGTCTGGTTTGGGCCTCTGCAAGAGCTGTTTTCGCATCCTAGGAGGCTTTTTGTCCCATATAAAGGGTAGAATTAGGCCGTCGATCTTTTTGAAAAATGTATTGGGTAGAAATATTGGAAGGCACTGATAGAGGTATAAGAATTTAGGGAGAGTATTCATTTTAATAGAGTTAATTCTAGCAACTAAGGAGAGGTGTAGCAAAGACCACCGTTCCAAATCGTCCTTAGTACGGGTTAAGAGAGGAGCAAAGTTGGCTTGAAAAAGGTTTTCAAACCTAATTGTGACATGTACCCCGAGATAAATAAAACTGCTGTGTGCTATTTTAAATGGCAAGTTATGTAAAGGGGATTTTTTTGCAGCCATGTTAAGTGGCATCAATTCACTTTTACTGAGATTTAGTTTATACCCTGATATGTGACCGAAGGATGCGAAAGTGGCAAGGGCAGCAGGGACAGAGACAGAAAGATTGGATGTGTATATTAATAAATCATCTGCATATAAAGACAGTTTGTGTTCGTGCCCGTATCTGACTATGCCTTTGATGAGGGGGGTTGGAGCGAAGTGCTATTGCAAGTGGCTCTATGGCGAGGGCAAACAGTAAGGGACTTAAAGGGCAACCCTGACGTGTCGATCTTTGCAGAGGGAAGCGATCTGATTGAGTGTTATTAGTCCTGACAGAGGCTTGGGGGGATGAGTACAGAAGTTTTATCCAGGTCATGAATTTGGAGCCAAAGCCAAATTTATTTAGAGTGTAAAAAAGGTATTTCCATTCCACCCGATCAAACGCTTTCTCCGCGTCCAGGGATATAATGGCTTCAGAGGTATTGTTGACAGAAGGATTGTATATAATATTAAATAATCTTCGGAGATTGAAGAATGAGTGTCTATTTTTTATAAATCCTGTTTGATCCGGAGAGATAATTGATGGGAGGACTGTTTCTAGCCGCGTTGCCAGAATTTTGGCTAGAATTTTATAGTCCACATTTAGCAGGCTAATTGGACGGTATGATGCACAGTCAAGAGGGTCTTTGTTTTTTTTAAGAATAACACAAATGGTTGCTTGAGTGAGAGTATGTGGGAGAGCACCATTTACAAATGCATCATTGTACATTTCAATTAGAATAGGGGCTATTTTGGTGATAAACTTTTTATAAAACTCTGTCGGGTAGCCATCAGGCCCTGGGCTTCTCCCAGATTGAAGGGTTTTGACAGCGTTAGACAGTTCTTCAACAGTGATCGGCTGCTCTAATTTTTTTACCAAATCCCGGCCGACCGAAGGCACAGATAGTGAGTGGAAGAAATTATCCAATTCCAGTGTATCCGCTTTACTTTCAGAGGTATATAGAGACTGGTAAAATCTCTTGAACTCCTCATTGATCCCCCCAGGATCTAATGATATCCCAGATGATGTACGAATTTTTGTAATCTGAGATGATGATGATTGTTGACGTAACTTGTGAGCTAATAATTTACTGGCTTTCTCTCCTTGTTCATAGTAAGTGCTCCTAGACTTGACAAGCATTTCAGTAACCTGGTCTGTTAATAGTGTGTCAAATTCTGCTTGCAGAGTTAGACGTTCCTTATAAATATCTGGGGATGGTGAAACGGCATAAATGTCATCTAATTGGGCAATACAGCGTGTTAGCATAGATAACCTATTCCTTTTCAATTTGTTCTCATGTGCGGTGTAGGAGATAATTTCACCTCTGATATAAGCTTTCAAAGTTTCCCAGAGAGTAGACGCAGAGATGTTTGGGGTTCTATTTGTAATCATGAAAAAGTCGATTTGACTCAAAACAAAATTGACAAAGTGTTCATTACTGAGCAGTTGGGTTTTTAGTCGCCAAGGCGGTCGCTGATTGTCAACATTTTGAAAAGCTACTTCCATAGTAACAGGGGCGTGGTCAGATACAACAATTGGGTTATATGAACATGAAGTTATGGAGTGGAGGAGCCGGTCATCAACAAGGAAGTAGTCTATGCGCGTAAAAGTGTGGTGAACCGATGAGAAAAAAGAGTATGCTTTCCCAGCTGGATTAACCATTCTCCAAGGATCTGAGACTGCGAATTCAGACATAAAGGTTTGAACAACTCTAGCTGAGGTTGATAGGGTGGTAGGTTTAGTGGAGGATCGATCCAATTGTGGGTCTAACCAACAGTTAAAGTCACCTCCTAAAATCAACATATGGGTGGACATATCTGGGAGTGTAGAGAAAACCGATTTGAAAAAATCACCATTGTCCCAATTAGGAGCATAGATATTAACAAGAAGAACCTTTGTATTGAGCAGCCTACCACTGACAATTATATATCTACCATGGGGATCTGCGATCACCTTAGAACATGTAAAAGGTACCGATCTGTGAAGTAAAATAGCCACCCCTCTCGCCTTACTCTGAAATGAGGAATGGAACACCTGACCCACCCATCTGCACCTAAGACTTGAGTGTTGTGATACCTTCAGATGAGTTTCTTGGAGAAAGATGATGTGAGCTTTCAAATGATGAAGATGGTGTAGCACCTTACTACGTTTAACTGGGTTATTTATGCCCCTGCAGTTCCAAGTAAGAAAATTAAAGCCATTCCCTCCAGCAGTATGGGCTACACTAGGCTGAGTCATATCTTAAGAGAGAGAGAGGATGTGTAAAGGACAAGGTACAATGTAAACTGAAGATCTTAGTTGAACCTAAAAGCGCAAATGTAAAAAACAAAGACAAACGAAGAGGCACAAAAAACATATACAAACTATATACATGAACAAACCCTTCCCTCACACCCGCCCTTGCCGAAGCATCTCCCCAAATGAGATGCAAGCAAAACCCTAAATACGAAGAAAGTTTAGAGCTAAGCATGATAACTCTTACTCTGTGCTACCTAAGATTAGTGACCATTTAACTAGAGTAAGCCAAACATGAATAGAATGGTCCCCAATAGAGTCTAAGGAAAACTATCCTCGATTAAGAGAGGTTTAACCTCGACGCAGATGGTAAATGATCAGACTGAAACAGCCATGCAGACCCCCAGATATTGGCATTAGAGGCGGCAAACCTGGGCTGGAAATAAAGAGATAAAGAAGAGAATGACATTCATATGTCGATGAACCCAGCAGAGATGGCTTCGTTAGTCACCCATTCGGCCTGCTAACTAGCCTGCTAGGAAGACCAGCTAGCCAACCATTTGTTACAAACCATGCGGTACAACAGCCGCTTTCACGTTCTTGTTGATGAAATCTGCCGCTATAGCCGGGTCCTCGAATCTGTGCATGGAACCGTCCGGTAAAGTCAGTCTCAAAATCGCAGGGTAGATGAGGCCGAACTTCACGCCCGGGCAGGTGTGTAGTTGGCGTTTCACAGCTCCAAAGCTAGCCCGCCTCTTAGCCACAGCTGTTGTGTAGTCCGCAAATATCGAGACTCTTTTACCCTTATGTAGAAGAGGGGATGCTTCTCCCGATCTTCTCAGTATGTCGTTGCGGACGTGAAAGAAATGCACCCTGATGACAAATGGTCGTGGGGGTTCTCCATCCCTGGGTCGGCTACGCAGAGTGCGGTGAGCCCGGTCTAGCAATGGCTTCTCCTCTAGCCCGAGCAGCTCCTGAAGTAGCTGGGCCATGTACTCCGTGGGTCTTGGGCCCTCCACTCCCTCCGGTATTCCCAGTAGACGAATGTTGTTCCTCCGCATTCTACTTTCCATATCTTCGCATCTATTATCGAGGAATGCCACCCTAGTTGTCAATGAGCCGACGCTAGCCTCTAGCTCGCTAATGCGAGTGCCGTGGTCTGTAGCCCCTCGCTCCAAATCCGATAAAGTCACCCCATGTGCGTCGAGCTTATTCTGTATACTCTCGATAGATTTTTTAAGCTCGTCTTTGATCGTTGATATCTCTGACCTGAGGTTGGTAGAGAGACAGTCAATTTTTCCGAAAATGTCGGCTTTGAGGGTGCCTATCACGGATTGTAGCATCTCCACAGTCAGTGTTTCCGTGGGGCCGGCATTGGTAGCGTTCGGTGGCGGGGGTGAGTCGGGAGAAGTTGCAGGCTTGTTGCGGCCTGCTCTTGCAGACTCTGTTTTTGGTCGGGTTGATGTCATTACGAATTTAAATTTATTAAACTTGAACTGAGTTGTTTATGGGTCTCTTCAGACGCCTGGGCAAACAGAAATGTATGCAGTTTTGCAAAGTTAAATATATAAATTTGGTCACTAACTCAGGAGCGATAGGGAGACGCGTGCTACATCCTTGGCTTCCAACAGCGCCTCCTCATGTCCTGTAGTTTAACAGGCCTAATGTCTGATGTCCTGTAGTTTAACAGGCCTAACGACTGATGTCCTGTAGTTGAACAGGCCTAATGACTGATGTCCTGTAGTTTAACAGGCCTAATGACTGATGTCCTGTAGTTTAACAGGCCTAATGACTGATGTCCTGTAGTTTAACAGGCCTAATGACTGATGTCCTGTAGTTTAACAGGCCTAATGACTGATGTCCTGTAGTTTAACAGGCCTAATGACTGATGTCCTGTAGTTTAACAGGCCTAATGATTGACTGATGTCCTGTAGTTTAACAGGCCTAATGACTGATGTCCTGTAGTTTAACAGGCCTAATGATTGACTGATGTCCTGTAGTTTAACAGGCCTAATGACTGATGTCCTGTAGTTTAACAGGCCTAATGACTGATGTCCTGTAGTTTAACAGGCCTAATGACTGATGTCCTGTAGTTTAAAAGGCCTAATGACTGACTGATGTCCTGTAGTTTAACAGGCCTAATGATTGATGTCCTGTAGTTTAACAGGTCTAATGATTGATGTCCTGTAGTTTAACAGGCCTAATGACTGATGGGAAATGAGAGAAGAGGAGGAATGTTCCTCTCTCTCCTGACCATATTCCCTGTGTTCCCTGTATTCCCTGTATTCCCTGTATTCCCTGTGTTCCCTGTATTCCCTGTATTCCCTGTATTCCCTGTGTTCCCTGTATTCCCTGTATTCCCTGTATTCCCTGTATTCCCTGTATTCCCTTTATTCCCTTTATTCCCTCTATTCCCTGTATTCCCAGTGTTCCCTGTATTCCCTGTATTCCCTGTATTCCCTGTGTTCCCTGTATTCCCTGTATTCCCTGTATTCCCTGTGTTCCCTGTATTCCCTGTATTCCCTGTATTCCCTGTGTTCCCTGTATTCCCTGTATTCCCTGTATTCCCTTTATTCCCTTTATTCCCTGTATTCCCTGTATTCCCTGTGTTCCCTGTATTCCCTGTATTCCCTTTATTCCCTGTATTCCCTTTATTCCCTTTATTCCCTTTATTCCCTTTATTCCCTGTATTCCCTGTATTCCCTGTGTTCCCTGTATTCCCTGTATTCCCTTTATTCCCTGTATTCCCTTTATTCCCTTTATTCCCTCTATTCCCTGTATTCCCTGTATTCCCTGTGTTCCCTGTGTTCCCTGTGTTCCCTGTATTCCCTGTATTCCCTGTATTCCCTTTATTCCCTTTATTCCCTGTATTCCCTGTATTCCCTGTGTTCCCTGTATTCCCTGTATTCCCTTTATTCCCTGTATTCCCTTTATTCCCTTTATTCCCTCTATTCCCTCTATTCCCTGTATTCCCTGTATTCCCTGTGTTCCCTGTATTCCCTGTGTTCCCTGTAATCCCCGTTATTCCCTGTATTCCCTGTATTCCCTGTGTTCCCTGTGTTCCCTGTATTCCCTGTGTTCCCTGTATTCCCTGTATTCCCTGTATTCCCTGTATTCCCTGTATTCCCTTTATTCCCTTTATTCCCTCTATTCCCTGTATTCCCTGTATTCCCTGTGTTCCCTGTGTTCCCTGTATTCCCTGTATTCCCTGTATTCCCTTTATTCCCTTTATTCCCTCTATTCCCTGTATTCCCTGTATTCCCTGTGTTCCCTGTATTCCCTGTGTTCCCTGTAATCCCCGTTATTCCCTGTATTCCCTGTATTCCCTGTGTTCCCTGTGTTCCCTGTATTCCCTGTATTCCCTGTGTTCCCTGTATTCCCTGTATTCCCTGTATTCCCTGTATTCCCTTTATTCCCTTTATTCCCTCTATTCCCTGTATTCCCTGTATTCCCTGTATTCCCTGTATTCCCTTTATTCCCTTTATTCCCTGTATTCCCTGTATTCCCTGTATTCCCTGTATTCCCTGTATTCCAGCTGGAGAGGTACATCCAGGAGAACCTGCGCTCTGGGATGGAGGAGATGAAGAGGAACGCTGTTCACACCCAGACGGTGGCCATGTTGGAGATCGTGACCAACCTCTTTAGCCAATCAGCTGAGCTGACCCGTAAACTGACAGATGTGAAGACTCAGGTAAGCCAATCAGCTGGACCTGTTGTGAAGAATACCTCTAGTCCCTTCCTCTTCCATTTGTAGGTGGATGATGGGAACTGGATCATTCAGAGGTCTTGAACCCTGGTCCGAAAGAGCTTCAGCCGCGCAACAAAATACCTTGATTCAACTTTCAATGTTTTGATTAGTTGCCAAGGTGTCCCAGGTGTGATTCATTGATTAGGCCAGTTGTCCCAGGTGTGATTCATTGATTAGGCCAGTTGTCCCAGGTGTGATTCATTGATTAGGCCAGTTGTCCCAGGTGTGATTCATTGATTAGGCCAGTTGTCCCAGGTGTGATTCATTGATTAGGCTGAGATCTGTTTGTCCCTCATCGTAAACACTTTGATTGACATGCTGAGTTGAATTTAGTTGACAGCCAGTTAAAACATCCAACATGGAGCCACAACACAGATGGTCCTTAGTTGTACCATAGAGCTGTTATTACAGGAAGATGTGTTTTGGTATTTTCTAGTTTCCTCTATCAGTCACTCTCTCTTTGTGATCCATGATGTCCATGATGTACAACAGTGCAACCTGTACAAATATTGTAACTGGTTGGTTATCAGTCAAGCTGGAAAGATAAGATACGAATGTAGCGGTCAAACTTGTATTATTCATCTTTGAAATTGTATAACAGGCCCCTTCCTGTTTGTCTATCTGTGTCTGGTGTTTAGCTTTGAAGAAAGTACTAAGTCTTCTCTATAAAAGATAGTCATTTAATCCAGGTGTCTTGGCGTCATATTCAGAACAAGATCCTTAACAACAGCTTGATCTTAATGGTCTTTGTCAGGTAACTGAATAACTCTCCCTCCCTCCCTAGGTGCTAAACCAGACCAGTAGAATGGAGATTCAGCTGTTAGAGTATTCTCTGTTCACTAACCGTCTAGAGAAACACATCCTCCAGCAGAATCAGGAGATCTCACGGCTCAACGATAAGAACAGGTACAGCAGCCCTGTCCAACACGCCAGCAGAGAGTAGGGAGAAAGGGAGTGAGTGTGTGTGTGTGTGTGTGTGTGTGTGTGTGTGTGTGTGTGTGTGTGAAAGGAAAGAGCACGTGAACCCGCCAGATCTGAGTTCAAATACTGTGAGCGTTTACATTTGGCCTGTCTGCGGTGCCAGGTGGGCGGGGTTTATGCTTATGGGTTTTTCTTCTATTGGTGTCTTTGCAACAAGCAAGCTCAATCAATCACAGATAAAGTATTTGAATCCAGGTCTGGTATGTGATAGTTGGTTATGGATGGTGTATATTTTTCCCCCCAACAATGTGAACTTACCAGGTAACGTCCCAGGCCCTAGAGCAGTGGTATTCAAACTTTTTTCAGCGGGGATCCCATCCCACCCCAAAATCTAACAAAAAAACCTTAAAAACAACGACAACCCCAACTGCGGTACCCCGACTTTGAATACCACTGCCATAGAGTCACGTGGTCAGGAGAAATATGCTCCCTTACACATTTCATACTGGGGGCTTGAGATACATCTGAACCAGAATATGCATCTGAACCAAAAGGTGAGTCTGAACCAGGAGACACATGAGACCAGGAGGTGAGTCTGAACCATGGTGTGAGTCTGAACCATGAGGTGAGTCTGAACCATGAGGTGAGTCTGAACCAGGAGGTGAGTCTGAACCAGGAGGTGAGTCTGAACCATGAGGTGAGTCTGAACCAGGAGGTGAGTCTGAACCATGAGGTGAGTCTGATGTTTCAGGGATAAACATTATTTACTGAGGGGAACCAAAAAGTTTGGAGGAGGATGAATGACACCGGACATGGGGATGAAGGACAGGTGGCATCGTGTGAAGTGGCCAGTGTTATTTCTCTCTGGTTGTTTATCCATACAGCCCTGTGAACAGGCCCCAGGCACCCAGATTATTCTGGTCTAAAGTAGTGCGGCTATATAGGGAATAGGGGTGCCATTCTCTGGTCTAAAGTAAGTGCAATATATAGGGAATAGGGTGCCATTCTCTGTCTAAATAGTGCACTATATAGGGAATAGGGTGCCATTCTCTGGTCTAAAGAGTGCCTATATAGGGAATAGGGTGCCATTCTCGGTCTAAAGTAGTGCACTATATAGGGAATAGGTGGCCATTCGCTGGTCTAAAATAGTGCACTATATAGGGAATAGGGTGCCATTCTCCTGGTCTAAAGTAGTGCGCTATATAGGGAATAGGGTGCCATTCTCTGGTCTAAAGTAGTGCGCTATATAGGGAATAGGGTGCCATTTCTCTGGTCTAAAGTAGTGCACTATATAGGGAATAGGGTGCCATTCTCTGGTCTAAAGTAGTGCACTACATAGGGAATAGGGTGCCATTCTCTGTCTAAAGTAGTGCACTATATAGGGAATAGGGTGCCATTCTCTGGTCTAAAATAGTGCACTATATAGGGAATAGGGTGCCATTCTCTGGTCTAAAGTAGTGGCGCTATATAGGGAATAGGGTGCCATTCTCTGGTCTAAAGTAGTGCGCTATATAGGGAATAGGGTTCCATTCTCTGGTCTAAAGTAGTGCACTATCTAGGGAATAGGGTTCCATTTGGGACGGGGTCCAGGTGTGTTCAGAATAACAGAGTGATCTGGTCATGACAGTTGCCACACATCTAACCCTGCTTGACCTCTTGACCCCTACTTGTGGTTGGAATATCCACCTGAGGTTGGCTACTTCCTTTGACTCCCTCTGGGTTGAAGCCTAAGATAAAATAACAACTAGAGCATCAATGGATTCAGTCGTGACACTATTATACACGTTAGTAAGGCATTGTTGGGGAGAAAACCCCAAAACACCATTATGAGAAGTGCCATTGAAATCAATTCCAATTGATCTCCAGGTGTAAACATAGTGAGGTAAGGTATACGTCCCAAATGGCAACCCTATTCCCTACGTAGCGCACTACTTTTGACCAGGATCCAATGGACTATATAGGGAATAGGGTGCCATTGGGGACTCAGCCAAAGGTGTTTGAGAGCGGGGTGCAGTGCAGAGCAAGGCAGAGTGAGAAGCAGCTTGCATCCGTCTGTGTGGCTCTGGGTTGTTTCTTCTGCTGGAGTCCGTTAGTCAGAGCTATAAACATCAGACTGGGGGATTTACAGGCTCCATTTGGAGCGGGTGGGTAACACACACATGGCAAGCACGCACGTCATGGTTGCCCCCAGGGTGGTGATTGAGACGTTCAACGTGCAGCTCCATCCAGATGTCTTCTGCTGCTGTACAGGTTGTTTCCTGTGGTGTGTGTGTGTGTGTGTGTGTGTGTGTGTGTGTTTTGTTGGGCCTGGTGTGTTCAGATGTTTCCCTTGGCATTTGCTGAATGGAAGACCTGTCTATTTTTTTTTCTTGCAGTGCATTACATGTAGGTCTTGCTATATGCGGTTATGTACAGGGATTGCTTATAGAGGTACGTACAGGATCTATAGGAGGATATGTCACATGATGCTTAGGAGGTATTTACAGGATGGGTCTAGTAGGAGGGTCCTTTACAGGATGCTAGTAGGCGGTAATGTCAGGATGCTAAAGAGGTCTGGACAAGATGCTTATAGAGGTATGGTACAGATGCTGTAGAGGTTATGTACAGGATGCTAGAGGATGTGTTATGTACAGATGCTATATGAATATTTGACGGTTGATGCTATAGGGGGAGTATGTACAGGATGCTATGTGTAATGTACAGGATCTATAAGAAGTATGTCAGGAGGCTGGCATCCAGAGACTGCAATAATTCTAATGTCCTTGATACAGTCTTTACTCACAATTGGTTTCCTTTGATCACTCAATCCAGTGCTGACTGGCATTGTGCTGACATCGGGGGCTCTACTTACTACATCGCAATATCACAACCTGAGCCCGGCACTAGGGATCAACCCTGGTGTTCCCCCCCCCCAGTTGGTATGTACAGGATACAATTCACCTTCACCCACTAGGGATCACCCTTCGTTTGGTATGGTACGGATACAGGATACACCTGACCCCACTAGGGATCACCCCTTCGTTGTATTGTACAGTGATACAATTCACGCTGGGACCCCACAGGGATCACAACGGGGCGCTTCAGTTGTGGATGTACAGTGATTACAATCCCCTGACCCCATGCTAGGGATCAACCCGTTCATTTGGTATGTACAGAACAATATCACCTGACCCCACTAGGGGATCAACCGCTTCAGGTTGGGTATGTACAAGGGAGACAAGATCACCATGACGCCACAGGGATCAACCCTTCAGATGTGGGCTGTTCCAACTCCTCTAATCTTCGTGGGCTATACCACCACCGCTCCTTGTCTTTGGTACTAGTTCACCTTAAAACATTGTTCATCAGGGTTTCTTCCACTGTCCCTGTAGGGATGGTTCCGTCAGAGAGACTGACCCGATGCCACTTGGGCGGTCGTCTCGTCTCTCTCTTAGTCTCTCTCGCCTCTCTCTCGGGGTCTCTCTGTATCGTCTCTCTATCGTTCTCGTCTGGCCGAAGGAAAAGCTCTCTCTCGGGGGTCTCTCGGCGGGGTTCGGGTCCCTCCGCTCCGTCTGCTCGGCTCTCTCTTCCGGGGTCTCTCTGCTCTCCCTCGGCTCTTCTCCCTCCTGGCCTCTGGGGATCTCTCTCTCCTCTCAGTCCTTCTCTCCCCGGTCTCGTGTGGGGTCCCTGGTCTGCGGTCTCTCTCTCCTCTAGCGGGAGTCGTCCCTCTCTACTCTCAATCCCTCGTCGCGGGCGGGGCTTCTCGTGCTGGGGGTCTCTCGGCGTCTCGGGTCATCGCACTCTCGGTCCTCTCTCTCTGGGCCGGGCCCTCTCGTCGCGGGTCGGGGGGGCGGCTGGCGTCTCGGTCTCGTCGGGCGTGGCTCGGGTGCTCTGGGGCTCGCTCTCTCCTCAAGTGCTGCTCGGGGTCTCTCGAGGGTCTCTCTCTGCGCTCGCCGTCAGTCTGGCCCATCCGGGGGGTCATCGTCGTGGTCCCTGGGGCAAGCCGGACTCTACGGGGCGGGTCGGTCTCTCGGGCGCATCCGGCTCGGGGGGCGGAGACTCGGCAAGTCTGGTGCTCCCGCCCTCATCTCGGATATGCGGCTCGGATCTCAACGGCAAGTGCGTCGTGGACAATTACTCGGGGGGTCGGTCAGGGTCCTCACATCAAGCAGGACGGTCTGGTCTCGTCTCAGTGCGTCCTGGGGCTCTCTCTCGAGTCTCCTCGGGGGGACAAATCTCATGGGACCTCAGTCTCCACTCGCACCGCTGCTCACAAGAAGAACGACCTCTCTCAGCCCGAAAGGGGCGGATGCGTACACTCCCATGCAATCTCCTACCTCGTCTCACAAAAGTCTCTCAGGGGTGCTCCTCAGGGGCGGGGGGGAGGGGGGGGAAGGCCTCTCGTCCGAATCGGGCTATCTCCTCTCTGGGGCTCTCGCGTCTGCTACTCTCTCCTCTGCTCTTGCTGTCCTCTCCCTTTCTCGCTCTCTCTCTCTGGCAAATCTCGTCGGGGCCCGGGTGGGCGTCCCCGTCGACGTCGGGGGAAAGTCCGGGGTCATCCGGGGGGGCATCGAAGGCGCGGGCAAGGGGGGTCGGACGTCGGGTCCTGCCTTGCGGTGCTCCCTCTTCTCGGGCTCGTCCGGGGGGGGGGAAAGTCTCGCTCGGCGGGGTCAGATGGGCAGCACTCGGAGGTCTGCGGCATCTCAAGCATCAAAGTCGCGATCACTCGCTCGGGGGGGGAGGGGTCCGGGTGGGCGGTCTCGAGGGTCTGACTCTCCCATCCTCGGGCGGAGGGGTCAGCCCTCTCCTCGGATAGCGGGTCTCCTGGCTGCGGTCGGGGGGTTGGCAGCCGGGGGGGTCGGCTTCGTCTCTCTCCGGGGGAGGGCCCCAAAGATATCGCGGGTCGGGCCGAGGGAAGAAACGAGCAATTCCCGGATCTGGCCAAGGACTCGGGAAACGGTCGGGGGGGAACTCGGGGTCTCGGCCACAACGCCGAGGGGGGCTCGCCAAAATGCTCCCGTCTTCCGCTCCTAGGGCGCTCCGTGCTCGGGCTCTCTGGCTCTCACACTCGGTCGGGAGCCAACAGACGCTCTGGGGATCAGATCGAAGCCGGGTCAGAACTCTCCCAATCTGGCGAATAACATCCTCATGGGCGGGGGTCGTACTCCGCTCCCGTCTCTCAGAAATCGCTCTCCTCCGTTCATCGTCGCTGTCCTCCTATCTTCCCCGGCCCTCTCCTCTCTCACTCGTCTCATCTCGGCTCCGAAAACTCGCGGGCCGCCGTCGGGGCATCTCCTCCCTCGTCAAACCGTCGTACGGGGGTCACGTGCTCAATCATCGTCTCGACTCTTCGTCATGGCGTCACGGGACCAAGTGCGGTCTCTCTCACTGCTCCGATCAGGCTTCTCTCAGAAAAGGGGGGAGGGTGGCAGGCGGAGGGCCGGTCGGGGGGGGTCGGGGGTCAGGGCGGTCGTCATCTCCTCGGGGTCGGTCTGGACGAGCACCGTGCTCGATCACGCTCTCACGCTCTCAGGGGATCTCCTTCTCTGTCGTCTGCCTCGCCTCTCGGGGTCTCGGGGTCTCGGTGACTCTCTCTCCTCTCCGTCTCGCGTCTCTCGGGGGTCATGGGGCTCAGGCGGACACGGGGTCTCCTCTGCCCGTCTCTCCTCTCGGGTCGAGGGTGGGGCTGCGTCGGCTCTCTCTGCTCAGCGGGTCAGGGTGGAGCATTGCTCCCTCAACCGTCTCTCTCACTCTGGCGGTGCCGTCGAGGGCCTCCTGCTCTCGGTCGCTCTCACTCTCTCGTCGTCTCCGGATACTCGGCAGTCAGGATCGCTCCCCGTCCGCGGGTGCATCTCGTCTCGGCGGCTGCTCTCCCACTCTCACGGTCTAGTACTCGGTTCTCTCGTCTCCCGTCGTGCGCGGAGGATGCTCTCGGGTCCTCAACCTATCTCTCGCTGGTCGCATGTCCTCATCTCCGAAGTCCTCTCCAAGTGCGTACTCGGGGACTCGTATCAATGCGTCTCTGGCACGGAGTCATCATCACTCTCTCGTCCCGTGCGAGGAATCAACAATCCTCCTCAATCGAAATCAACCTCATCAACGAGATCGTCAGCGTACGGTCGGTGCTGCTCTCTCATCTCTCGTCGGTCTCTCTTCGGGTCTCGTATCTCTCATCGAAGGCTCTCGTCGGGGTCTCCCGCTCTCTCCACCAACTCCGCCTGCGGGTATCATCGCGTACCGAGGCTCTGTCTCGTTCGCTGGGGGCTCTCTCTCGGGTCTCTCTCTGCCTCTCCAATCTCTCTGCTCCTCTCGTCATAGGGTTTCCTAATCAAGATTGTTTGGCGGTCAGCTTAGGGAGGCCAGGCGGGAGGCACGTTAAAGTGCGCTCCAGGGGTCCTTCATAGGCAGTGAACATCAGCTGGCAGGACATGCGTGGCGAGGGGTCAGAGGCGCCTGTGGTCACGGCGCCGAGCTACGGGAGGGTGAGAGCTTGTTGACCTCCACAGGGGGCAAGCATGCACACTGACTGTGCAAACCAGCAGGCTATACTTACGTGACCACGTGCAGTGCAGCAGGCTGCTGGCCATGGGGCAGAACGGGGGCCCCGAGACCCACTGCAATGGTTAGAGAGATCTAGGCTGGGAATTGTTTGTGTTTTTTCTCATTATCCATCCTTACTTGTCAAGTCTGCTAAATTCATTATAAAGGTCAAGTCTGCTAACTTAATTATAAAGGTCAAGTCTGTCTAAGCGGGGTTAATTATAAAGGTCAAGTCTGCTAACTTAATTATAAAGGTCAAGTCTGCTAGCTTAATTATAAAGGTCAAGTCTGCTAACTTTATTATAAAGGTCCGAGCTCTGCAGCTTAATTGGGCAAGGTCTGAATTGGTTTACTTATTTATTTTTACTTTATTATTACGTGAGTTTAATTATATTATTATTATTATTATTATTATTATTATTATTTTTATTATTATTATTTTTCGTTTCTACCTTAAAGCCCAAAAAGTATGCGTGGCTTAAGGGGGATCCCATAGTGTGGAGGCTGCCATCTGCCGTAATGCTCGGGCGACCCTGTAATTATAGTGCAGAGGGGGTGCGTAGGGGACCGGGTAGGTGGGGGGGGGAGGTTCCGGTGGGGGGGGGGCCCTGATAGGGAGGTGGGGTCGTGGGGGTGGCCCTATAGAGGGGGTCGTGTTCTGGTGGGAGCGACCAAACGTAGGGGGCCGTGGGGGGTTCCTAGTGGAGAGGGTCTGGCCGTGGGTGTTGGGGAGGCGACCAGAACGGGGGGAGTGGGGGGGTGGCGGGGCCCTATAAGAGTGTCGGCCTGGGTGGGTGATCGAGCGCACGACTGTTGGAGGTGCGGCGGGGGGCCGTGGATAGGAGGTGTGGTCCTCCGTTGTTGGGAGGCGACCAGCAGGCGTGGTGGGCCGTGGTTGGCGCTATATAGGGGGGGTCGTGTGGCGGGTTTCTGGGTGGTGAGCGACCGAACGGTGTGTGGGTTCCCTGTGGGGGGCTTGTTTTTTATACAGCTATGTGTGTTTCCAACACGAAATATAGACATTACATTTTTATGGAACAATGTGCGACACGTCTGGATTTCGTCCTCCATGAGAAATTTGAAATGGGCTTTAATATTCCTATCGACTGTGTTTTCCAGAGTGTCTGTGATATCTGGGCTAAGATACCATGTGTGATATATCGATTCTACAAGGGAACACACCTACGTCCAAGAAGTACGCATATAGAATAGGAAAACCAGTTGTGTCCAAACGGGGCGTGGGCGTTTGCTTTGTAATTGGTCATCAGCCCCAAACGCAAACTAAAGGGTGTAATCATGATGATACATTAGAAACTCTAAATCACCACCTTGGTAAAGGCGAGATACCACAAGAAGTAGGAATCACTTTCCTTTAGAAATTAATCCATAATTGAAAAATCACCTGGTGGTATTAATGGTTGTACAGGCTCCATATCATATGATCTACCGTAACTTTTTTGATTCTCTGAATGGCATAGTGTTGAGAATTCACTGAATCCAACTGGTTATTGGGACAGATATTATGCCATTCCTGGACATGTCTGTGGCGGATGACAATATTAATCGATTTTCGATTTACATTTTTATTCCAATGTGTAGCAGACGCTCTTACGCAGAGCGACTTACAGGTTAGTGAGTGGCATACATTTTCATCCTGTTGGTCCCCCAGTGGAATCGAACCCACAACCCTGTCGTTGCCAAAGTGCCATGCCCTACAAACTGGAGCTACACACGGGGGGCCACTTTTGTAAATTCCTAAAGCAAAATAGTACACTCTCTATTCAAACAGTATCAAAACAATCTCCCGATGCGATTTCATAACTTCAGTCTACTCCTCTATTTTCTTTCAATCAAGAAAATAGAAATCTGCCTATCTCATCAATCATGCTGATAACTGGAGATACAACATGTCTCAATCTCCTAAAAGATCGCAGGCAAACTAGGGTTGCCCTTTAATGTTTCCTTACCTACAAAATCCTACGGTTCTGTGAACAATTTGAAACTGAATTGAAATTGGGCATATATAATGATTAACAAATTCAGTCGATGACGGTGCAGATTTTATGAGATCCATCCCGAAACAGGGCTTTATTAAAAACGGGAGGTGCGGGGAACTGCATTTTACATGGCGTGGGCCATAATAACAATTAAAGAATATAGTCAGAATTGGAGAGAAAGTGGTTAAACGGATGTAGAGCCTCTCTCTCAACAACAGCTTCTTTTCAGAAAATGGTAGCGACTGCCTCGTTCAAATTCAAGACAGTAACTAAATTATATGAGTGGAGACCGGAGAGCAGAATCTATTGAGAGACTAGAGCAGAGTGTATTGATGAACATAGAGCAGAAGTATTGATAGACAAGAGCAAATTATTGATAATACAGAGAGCAGATGTATTTGATGAACAGATAGCAAATGTATGGATAAGACAGAGATCGAAGTTTGAGTGACAGAGGGAGCAAATGGTAATGATGAGCAGAGAGCCGAGAATGTATTGATGATACAGAGAGCAAGAATGGTATTGATAAGACATAGAGCATAATGTTCTTGAATGAATCAGAGAGCAGAAATGTATTGATAAGACCAGAGAGCAGAATGTAATGATATACAGAGAGCAGAAATGTATTGATGAGACATAGCAGAATGTTTGATTAGACAGAGACATAATGGGGGTATTGAGTGAGGACAGAGAGTCAGAATGTATTGATAAGACAGAGAGCAGAATGTATTGATGAGACAGAGAGCAGAATGTATTGATGAGACAGAGAGCAGAATGTATTGATGAGACAGAGAGCAGAATCTATTGATAAGACAGAGAGCAGAATGTATTGATGAGACAGAGAGCAGAATGTATTGATGGGGACAGAGAGCAGAATGTATTGATGAGACAGAGAGCAGAATGTATTGATAAACAGAGAGCAGATGTATTGATGAGACAGAGAGCAAAGGGTATTGATGAGACAGAGAGCAGAATGTATTGATGAGACAGAGAGCAGAATGTATTGATGAGACAGAGAGCGAATGTATTGATGAGACAGAGAGCAGAATGTATTGATGAGACAGAGAGCAGAATGTATTGATAAGACAGAGAGCAGAATGTATTGATAAGACAGAGGAGCAGAATGTTTGATAAGACAGAGAGCAGAATGTATGATGAGGACAGAGAGCAGAAATGTATTGATGAGACAGAGGGGCAGAATGTATTGATGAGACAGAGAGCAGAATGATGATATTGAGACAGAGAGCAGAATGTTTTGATGAGACAGAGAGCAGAATGTATTGATGAGACAGAGAGCAGAATGTATTGATGAGACAGAGAGCAGAATGTATGATAAGACAGAGAGCAGAATGTATTGATGGACAGAGAGCAGAATGTATTGATGAGACAGAGAGCAGAATGTATTGATGAAGACAGAGGGGCAGAAGATGTATTGATGAGACAGAGAGCAGAATTTATTTATGAGACAGAGAGCAGAATGTATTGATTGAGACAGAGAGCAGAATGTATTGATGAGACAGAGAGCAGAATGTATTGATAAGGACAGAGAGCAGAATGTATTGATGAGACAGAGAGCAGAATGTATTGATGAGACAGAGAGCAGAATGTATTGATGAGACAAAGAGCAGAATGTATTGATGAGACAGAGAGCAGAATGTATTGATGAGACAGAGAGCAGATGTATTGATGAGACAGAGAGCAGAATGTATTGATGAGACAGAGAGCAGAATGTATTGATGAGACAGAGAGCAGAATGTATTGATAAGACAGAGAGCAGAATGTATTGATGAGACAGAGAGCAGAATGTATTGATGAGACAAGAGCAGAATGTATTGATGAGACAGAGAGCAGAATGTATTGATGAGACAGGGAAGTTTGATGACAGAGAGCAGAATGTATTGATGAGACAGAGAGCAGAATGTATTGATGAGACAGAGAGCAGAATGTATTGATGAGACAGAGAGCAGAATGTATTGATAGACAGGAGCAGAATGTATTGATGAGACAGAGAGCAGAATGTATTGATGAGACAAAGAGCAGAATGTATTGGATGAGACAAAGAGCAGAATGTATTGATGAGACAGAGAGCAGAATGTATTGATAAGACAGAGAGCAGAATGTATTGATGAGACAGAGAGCAGAATGTATTGATGAGACAGAGAGCAGATGTATGATGAGACAGAGAGCAGAATGTATGATGAGACAGAGAGCAGAATGTATTGATAAGACAGAGAGCAGAATGTATTGATGAGACAGAGAGCAGAATGTATTGATGAGACAGAGAGCAGAATGTATTGATGAGACAGAGAGCAGAATGTATTGATGAGACAGAGAGCAGAATGTATTGATGAGACAGAGAGCAGAATGTATTGATGAGACAGAGAGCAGAATGTATTGATGAGACAGAGAGCAGAATGTATTGATAAGACAGAGAGCAGAATGTATTGATGAGACAGAGAGCAGAATGTATTGATGAGACAAAGAGCAGAATGTATTGATGAGACAGAGAGCAGAATGTATTGATGAGACAAAGAGCAGAATGTATTGATAAGACAGAGAGCAGAATGTATTGATGAGACAGAGAGCAGAATGTATTGATAAGACAGAGAGCAGAATGTATTGATGAGACAGAGAGCAGAATGTATTGATGAGACAGAGAGCAGAATGTATTGATGAGACAGAGAGCAGAATGTATTGATAAGACAGAGAGCAGAATGTATTGATGAGACAGAGAGCAGAATGTATTGATGAGACAGAGAGCAGAATGTATGATAAGACAGA